TAGAAGACTAATTCAGTAGCATAATATGAATGGTTTTGTATCTGCTTGTATACAGAACATTTGTTTATTGAATATTTTGCATATATGACAGAATTTTGTTGAGTCTTGTTTTTATTAAGACCTAATAATAAGGTTGTTGGCAGTAGCTAATCCTTGCCCACCTCAAACCTCTTTGGTGCTGTTAATGAGCTGAAAGTACCTATTTGGTGGGTATGTGTCCAAATTAGCTGAGATTATTTCCTAGTATGATCTAGAGTTGGGAATTGTATCCAGAAAAAAATAAAACAAAAACAACACTATCTGGGAATCCAGACAATCTAATTACCTGGCCAATAGCTCTAATAATTTCAATGTTTCTACTCTACAGGTCTACATCCTGAATAACTTGCTGTGCTGGTCTGGGTCTCCCCAGAAGCACACAAGGAAGTAAGATTAAACATGCAAGTAATTTATTAGAGAAAATAAATGTGAGAATCAGAATTCAGAACACGGTAGTTCATTTTCAAAGAGGAGGAGAGAGGGAAGGAAGAACTGTTAGACAGAAGTACAGTTCTGAGTCACAAGGCCACAGGGAGGCTTCGAGCTAAAAGTGACCCTGGAGAAGAATCCCCTGGATTCCAGGAATGGGCCTGTGGTGCTATTTGCTGTCCTAGTTGGGCGGATCCCGTCACAGGAGGCGCCATGTGAATGTGATGATGGGTTTCAGAGCACAGCACTTTAGGCTGGTAGTAAGTTACACTCCTAGGAGTCAGAGATTAGAGAGGCATATTCTCATGGTTGCTTACTTTGCAGTGACTTAAGTGTAATTTTAACTGTGTGTGTGTGTGTGTGTGTGTGTGGCTGAGGACTGAAACCAGGGGCATTGTACTACTGAGTGACATCTCCAGCTTTTTTATTGTTTTGAGATAGGGTTTCACTAAGTTGCTGAGGTCTTGAACTTATGATATACCTGCCTCAGTTTTCTGAGTCACTGGGACTACAGGCATGTGCCACCACATCTGATCCTTATGTATAGTTTTTAGACCAGCTTGAGAACGAAAGTTATTTGTGTTCAAAGTTGCCTTCCAGTTGAGACCCAGAGCAGATGGTACTTAAGATCCACACTATTTAGTGTTCATGAACTGAGCCACCATTATTACTGTTTCTGAGTGTTAGTACTTTGACAGGCAATGAAAGGTTTTTATTGGTCTACCTACTTCAGCTAGAATAATGAGTTAAATAATGAGCTAAAAGTGACCCTGCAAAGTGACCTATAGCCTCAAGGTATCTTAAGGATGGGAGCTATCACATGAAAGACCAAGGCAGGATTAGAGGGTTAGGACATTGAGTTTCACCCCTGAATGCTGGAGAAGGGAGAGCTGAAGGTTGGGTTTATCACCAAGTTGGGTATTTATTACTTATTGCAGCAGAGGAGGATACAGGCCATGGGGAAATGTGGGGCATCTCTGTAAGTGGGTGTTAGAAAATACTTTTGTAGGATTTGGATTTGTTTGGTTTAGTGATTTTGCAGAGGGGCCATGGAATTTGACATTTATTTTGGAACGGACTAGTGGGTGAGTAGGAACAATTCTATGACTGGTAAATCTTTAGTGATATTTATCACATTCAATAAACTATAGAGAGTACTAACTAGAGTGAGGCTAGAACTATAATTGGTAAAAATCAGCAGTCCATCATACTAGTCAGGATTCTGGGGATGCTGTTTACTTTTGTGGTTTGGACAGCATCCATATTTTATCTATAGATGTCGATTGCAGAGTGGCTATTTAAAAAAATACATTTATTTATTTTTATGTAGTGCTTAGAATCATACCCAGTGCCTCACACGAGCTAGGCAAGCGCTCTACCTCTGAGCCACAACCCCAGCCCCAGAGTGGCCATTTTTATCTGAACCCATTTGGTCAGAATAGCCTGAGGTTGGTGTTCTGTGAGATGGTTCACACTCAACAGGACACCAAGGCCCAGCCAAGTTTCAAGCTGGCTTTCATCACCAGTGAGGGCGGCTGGTGCTGTCAGGGTTGTAGCCTTTCACTCTATCAAGGCAGCTGGGCCAGTGCGGGTGGGAGAGCCTGAGTTCTCTTCTGATGATTCTGTTTTCTGGAAATTGGAAACAAGGCATCTGCTGAGCTTGAGGTTGCAGAAGAAATGTTAGAGATTTGACAGCAAAGATTTCAGATCCACCTGACAGGAAAATGTCAGGAAACAGAGTAGGAAGTTGAACATAAGGAATTAAAGAGAAAAGATGAGGAGCACAAGGAATACTTCATGTCTGAATTTAAGTCTAATAATAAATTCCCAGGTCAAGTGTGCATTTGTTTTAAGGGGATAATGCCAAGTTTTTAAAAATTCCTCTACATAGTAGTCTTTAAAAAATGAGGTCATCAAGCATGTTTTATGCATAGGAAAATTTTACTAAGAAAATATAAGAGCATACATCTCATTACAAGTAATATATCACAAAAAGAGAAAAATAATTCACATGACTATGATGTTTTTAGACTGATTCTTGGAACCATCTGTAGGAAAATCTGGTGTGTCTATATGAGAGGCATTCCTCTTAAACTACTATTCCCACAATTACCACAAGAATAGTTGTTCTATCATTTTATCTTAAACACAAAAGTGAGAAAGGCCAAGCAATGAGTTGCAAAGTGTGGCTTCCTTGAAGTCAATGATTAATGCTTACGATGTTATCAAAGGGAAAATACTATCAATTGCAAAAATATGTTTTTAATTTCAGTTGATTTTAAAGCTCCTTGAAATACAATAAAACATTGGGCAGAAATTTTGTCAAATATTTACCTAAAATAGTTCTCTAGAAGTTCCTTATTCCACACACAATTTTACTATTACTACTTTCTAACTGTTCTTATCTTTTTAACAGAAGTTATATATGCAAATAGCACAACAGATACCATTTAGAATACACCTTACAATGCAGATGTACATTGATGTGTAGATTAACAAACTGAATAGTACAATATATAAGTGCATTTCAAATTGATTTGCACAGAAGTTATAGTGGTTGGCAATTCTATGACTACTACTAAAATAAAAGGTATTAGTCAACTATTAAAATCTCTAGTGATATTTATCACATTCAAAACCAAATCCTTATACATCCAATACTTAAAATTTAAAGATTAACAAGTAAGAGGTTTACATTGTATTTAAATTATAAATGGGAACAAAGAAAAATCAAGTGAAGTGGTAAAATGCACTAAGGAGGACTTAAAAATTTTTTCCTGAAAGCTTCTTTTTTCTTCCCCTTTTGGTACCAGGGACTGAACCCAGGAGTGCTTGACCACTGAGCCACATCCCCAGCCCTTTTTATTTTTTAAGATAGGGTCTCACTAAGTTGCTGAACTGGTCTTGAATTCCCAATCCTCCTGCCTCAGCCTCCCAAGCTGCTGGGATTACAGGAGTGAGCTGTCACACCCAGCTAAACTGAAACAATTCTTGAAGATTCAGATAAAATCACCTATAGAGGGCTTTCTTTCCTAAGATGGGTATGAACTAAGAGTCCCAGCTTTGCCACTCATCATGAGATATTCTGTAAGTCATTCAACCTCTCTGTGCCCCTCTCCTTGTCTATGAAACAGGGACAGAAACAGGTTTACTGTGGATTAAATATACAAGATGCTTGGAACACTTAACTCCTGAACAGTGTAGGCACCACCCATACAATTTAGTTTGTTATAACTTGCTAACTGTATGCCAAATGTGTTGGTAATAATTCATCAACTATATAGGAATCAATGATTTCCAAGAACATAGACTTAAAGTTAGGAAAGGGAAAATAATTTTTTCTGGAACATAAAAGGAAATCTGAAAACCGAGGAATATATAACCATACATTTTCTTTACTTATTATTTGATACTGGGGATTGAATCCAGGGGCACTTAACTGAGCTAYATCCTCAGCTCTTTTGAGACAGGGTCTTGCTAAATTGCGGAGAGTCTCATTAAGTTGCTGAGGCTGGCCTCAAAGTCACCATCCTTCCAAAGCTTTCCAAATTGCTGGGAGTACAGTTGTGTGCCACCATGTCTGTTTTTCTTTCTTAGTCTTAAAACTTACAGTACACTGAATGTAGAAATAAAACTTTACTTGGAAAACAAAAAACAAAAAGAAAGCCAAGACTTAACAGCCATGTGAAAATGTTGTTTACCCAAAGATACCATACATTCAAGTCATTTGACTCAATGTGTATATTTTGTGCAATAAAACTATGAAAATGTTTCCATTTTTACTTTTCTCTTTGGGTGGCACAGTTTTCCTTATTTAAGAAAGAAAAATAATGTCTCAAAATCTAGCACTACTTAAACTCTCAGTAAGAATCAGTGAATTAACAGTTACGAGTCATGTCTTACTTGAACCTACCTGAATGTACTAAAATTTGAAAATAAAGGTTTAGGTTTTATTTCCCCTCTCTGCTTACATTAAAATCTCTCTCAATTTCAGGTGAGGAAAAAGTTTTCTATAGCTAAATTATCTTGAATATTTTAAATATTAAATCTTACTTTATTTCATCTGCAGTTTAACACTTACATGCTAAAGTGCAAATCACAGAGATTCAGAGTCCATGAATCTATGCAATGTTCTATAGTAAGCAATATGCCTGCAGTTGTACCCACGTGGTCATCTTGGATGAAAATATGGTATTGGGGTTATTTCATTCTTTAGGACTTCCTTTAAATGGATCCCAGTGGAGAGTTTTGAGACTTGTATTATTGTTCTCAATATTACATATGCCCAATAAAGCTGATTTTATTTTGGTGAGTCCAACAGAACACTGAAGATATTTGTGAAAAAAAAGTTATCCTTAAGGGAGACTGAATGAGCCAGAGGAAAAAATCTTACAGTGGCGCATGTCTATAATTTCAGCTATCTTGGGAGGCAGAGGCAGGAGGATTGCACAAGTTCTAGGCCAGCTTGGGCAACTTAACTCAACTTACATTAAAAAGGGCTGTGAATGTAGCTCAGTGGTAGAGAGCTTGCCTAATATGTGCAAGGCCCTGAATTTAATCTTCAATACTGGGAGGTGGGGGAGCCACAGGAGCACCTGTATGCCACCCTAATCCTTAGCCCCATTCTCTTTGGGTCTTCTGTTATCTGGGAACAATGGTTAATGCTCCATACTTATAACATTGTATTTCAGTCTTAATTCATTCATCACTCTTTCACAGAAAATGAAAATACTATTTCTCCAGAGGCTGATAATTTAGAGAAGACAAAGTACAAGGCAAGTTCTATCATTAGGGAATGAATAATCAAATTAAAAAACCTCACAAATATCCATTTGTTAGCTAATCTTTTCTAAGTGAAATTTGGTTGCTAGGTTTCACTTAAGTATGCTACAAATCCAGAATTTAAAATCACACAGTATTCTAGTTTTTATGTATTCTCAGGAAAAAAACTATTTAAAGAGTTCTATATTAATTTTTCTTATAAAAACTCATCAGTTTTTATAAGATAACTAAATATAACAAAACTAATGACAGCTACTCCATGTAAGAGTTTTAGTTGATCTTTTTCATATATATAGAAGCACATAGTATATAAACACTAGTTTTTATAAGATAACTAAATAGTATATAAACACTAGTTTTTATAAGATAACTAAATATAACAAAACTAATGACAGCTACTCCATGTAAGAGTTTCAGTTGATCTTTTTCATATATATAGAAGCACATAGTATATAAACACTAGGCTGAAACAGCACACCACTTGCAATACTGTGGAGCAACGCCTGTTTTCTTTAACAGCAACACAGGTGGTACCTGGAAGCTCATCAGAAATGCAGACTCTCAGGCCTCAACCAGGACCTGCATCAGTGTCAGTCCTCAGCATTGGTCAGCTCTCCAGATGATTCCGATATCTGCTTTAAGGCAGTTGTGAGGGCAAGTATGTCTGTGTCAGAACCACCTTCAAGAACTTGCTCAAACTATAGCTGCTAGGGGTCTGCCCCTAATAGCCTGGGGCAGGGCCAGGGGCAGAAATGGAGGGAGTTGGGGCAGAGGCATCTCTTAGTGTTTAGTATTGTGGATTGAAGCCAGAAGTAGTCTACCACTGAGCTACATTCCCAGCTCCCCATCTTTTTCTAATTTTATGAGACAAGATTACTATTGTAGAATGAACATTTAAAAGTTTTGCTTCTTGCAGCACATAAGGCAGACAGATACTATAGCTATACCGCCATATTTTAAGATGCTTCTGGATCTTCCTTTAAAAATCTCTAATATGTAAGCTACACAAGAAACTGGTCTCTTTAGCCAGTTATTATCTATTTTACTGGGATTAAAAATGGCATCTCCTGGTCTGAACACCTTCCTTATTCATCCCTACTTAGCTCTGAAAAGTAATAAATTCACCTTTAATAGAGAAAGAGTTGTCACCACTAACAACATTCAAGGGAATGCATTGTAGGAGAATCCCAAAACTATTTTGAGTAATAAAGAACCTCAGTTGGATAGGGTATAGTTCCTCCAGTTAAATACAGCTCATTCAGATGTAAACCACTACTGATTTATTTTAAAAAGTAAACGAGATTAGTTGTAATGTATGCTTTAGGCATCCTATATGCCCTCAACTAGAAATTAAAAAAACAAAAAAAACCCAATGTATTTTCATTATAAGCAAACCTACATTTCTAGTTGGGCAATAAGGTAGCATAACTGAAGCAATTAAGTTTAAGACATTACTTTATTAAATAAAAATCATTTTTACACACTGTTGCAAAAGACTGCTTTGTCTAAAGGCAATAGTAGTTCCCATAACTCTCTCCTAATGTTATAGTTAAACCTTGATTAGTTCCAGAAAATAAAAGGGAAAAAATTTTCTTATTTCTCTAGTTCTGTGTATTATAAAATAATTTCAGAGCATGAAGGTAAAATGAAGCAGATAAAGTTTTACATACTGACAATTTTCTTTGAATTTTGTTTAAAATTTGGCTGCTTTGCAAAATATGCCCTCATATCCACAGAAATAAACTTCTATTTTTGTAGAACTAACCGGATGATGGAAGATTGTTACTTATAACAGTAAATAACAAATACTTTGGCAAGCAGGACCAAAAATACAAGTGAAGACATCCATAGACACATTTTAAACATCTCTTGGGTGTTGTATGGCTACAAATAAGGACATTAAGCATTATGGTTGATTGTAGGGTATTGGTGGACCTTAATACAGTCAACACATCCACCTCCAACAGACATGGACATACATGGGTTAAGTCAAGTAAAGTAGTGGGGGAAGAAAAAAAAATACGGAAACACCATAAATCTGATAACATCTCTCAAAAAAGGGGCTTCCCTGAAGCATGGGAAATATTTATTGGTGTGAGTGCTTCTATTCTGTTATCTGGGGAGGTCTTGATGCAGATTCTGGCCATTCATACATATCGGGCAGCAAGGAATCATATTCACTTCGCCATATTCTTTCTTTAATATACTTGGTCTTGTCTTCAGGCTCTGGGTATCGGAAAGCCATTTTATTAGCATATAGGTATTCTGTAACCTGAAAAACAAAGAAGATTATTGTATAGGCTCTCATAGAAAATATTACAACACAAGAACTAAATTTAGAAGAATAGTATTTCTTCTTTTTAAGAATAAAAAAAAATAAAATTACTTTGACTTACTTCAAAACATTCAGAAACTATTCAAAGTTTAAAAGACAAAATAAACCAGATGTGGGGGTACACATCTGTAATCCCAACAACTCCAGGGACTGAGGCAGGAGGTTCCCAAGTTCAAGGCCAGCCCTAGCAACTTAACAAGGCCCTAATAAACTTAGTGAGACCCTTTCTTAAAATAAAAAAATTAATAAAAGGACTGGGGGTGTGGTGCAGTGGTAAAGTATCCCTGGGTTCAATGTTCAGTGCCAAAAAAAAAAAAAAAAAGACTTGTCATCTTACAATGTATTTATAAAGTGTTTTAATTACGGCCCTGACCAAGAATTATTATAGCACTTCCCTAATAGTGCAGTCAAAAAAAAAATTATCACTTCAGTAGACACACCTGGATGATCTGTCCAGCGCATCACTCCTCAAAGCCCTACTGAAAGAGCGAGCTTAGGGAACGCCAGATGTGTAGGACTTTACTTCCTAGTCATAGCTGACTTGACAGAGGTGAAAACCTAATACAAAGCAAGTCAGATGTCTTTGTTTTAGAATATGGACTGAGTCACAGATATAATAATCATGTGTTCAACACCAAAAATAAAGTGCAATGAATGGATTACTGATCTCTGCAACCAAGCTAAGTACCACAGTAAGCGGTGAGGATAAACCTCTAGCTTTAGTCTGATAAAATGAGGAATGTAAAAAGCTTCCTCACAGGGAGCTTGCCATCCAGTTATCACATTATGGTTTCATTTCAAATTTTAAAAGCATTGTGACACATGGTAAAATAAATCCAAACTTCCTTCTCCTCTTCTAATTCCCATTCCAAATTGTGACCACTATTCACATTTCTTATATCAGTTTTTCTGAAAGAAAAGTTTAAGAAAATGGTCAATAAAAATAATCTATGAAGTCAGGTATGATGGTGCACACCTATAATCCCAGCAACTCAGGAGGCTGAAGCAGAAAAATCTTGCATTTAAGGCTAGACTTAGCAAGACCCTGTCTCAAGATAAAAAATAAAAGAACTGGTAATATAGTGCAGTGTTAAAGTGCCCATGGGTTCAACCCCAAGTACCAACCCCCCCCCCAAAAAAAAAACCCAAAACAAAACTCTGGTTACAAGAGCTCAATCTCTAATGTTATATTATGTAATGGAAAATGTGCTCTGTCTATTGCCCAAACTGTCCTCAAGTTTTTATAAAAAAAAGGAAAAAAGTTTTCTGCTTCTAGGAAGAGAAAACAAAACATACTTTCCCCCTATCCTGTCCACAAAGTACAACCAAAAATGCTTAACACTGAACATGAAACAACCGTTAAGACAACTCTAAGAGGAGGAGAGAAAAGGCAGGCCAGCAAAGAGCCTAGAGACATGAGGAACAACACAGTGGCTTCATGTATCCCAGATTTTTAGATGAAAAAGCCAGCAGCCCTCACACACCAAGAGATGCAGACAAAAAACACCTCAACAAATGGCTGCTTTCTCTAGCTGAAGGATCAGAAGGCCAGCTTAACAGACAGAAAAACTTTCAGTCAATAGCCATTCTACTCCAGTCAAACACCACAGAAAAAATTTTGGTCCAGCCTACCTCTGCTAACAAAAGGTGAGTGAGGAGTTTAGACTTCCATCAAGGCTATAATGTGGTACCATAGGAGCCCTACCAGGGTAGTGTCAGAGCCAGGACTTTCATCCCCACTGGTCAGCAAGAAGGACCTTATCTCCTCAACCACCCTGCTGCCCACACTGTCAGTGGAGACCATGTGGAAAACTTCTATCCTTAATCAGTCACCTCCCCAGTGCCAGGCCACTGGATGGTATCAGAGAAGGACTACAGAACACTTGGGACCTTGTTCATTGTCCTGTGGTAATGAGGTCACCAAAGTGCAGTGTCAGGACAAAGTATTACTGATGGGGAGGCTCCCCTCTCAGGAGTCAACAGAGGAAGTGGGAAACCTGCAGTGAAATGAAGCACATACCCCAAAGCAATATCAGAGAAAGTCATTTAAAGATTTAAGAAATAGTTAGACTCTAGGTCTCAATTAAAAGAAAAAAAGAAACAAAAAACTAAAAAGTACTTATCATACCAAGAATCAGGACCATATCAAACTAGGAAAAAGAGTCAGTAGATGTTAAAACCAAGATGGCAGAGATGTTAAAATTATCTGACAAAGATTTTGAAGTAGCCATGATAAAAATGCCTCAGAGGAGCCAGAGCCAAGGTGGAAAGTTGCAGGCGCTGGGAGGGCAGGGATGGGGTGGCTGGAGTTAAAGGCCAAGTGTGGGAATGTTTATTGAAAAGAACGTGCTGGGAGAACCCAGCCCTCACATCTCGGGGATTTGGGAACTGGCTGTCTGCAGTGGAGAGCCCTGCCAGATGAGTTCAGCCGTTCCCACTTCATAAAGTTCCTGGTGCAAAAATGAATGGCAAACCCAGCCATGAATGTGACTTCTTAAAGAAGATTATTGAAACAAATGGTCCTGCTTTTTCAAATCTGCCCTGGTGGTCAGGAGGAGGAAAGTAGGGAGGAAAACTCCCTGGTCATTTGCAAACATCCCTGTCCAGCTTCAGAAGACACTAGTGTCTAATGGCACCACAAGAAAACGTGTGTTGTTAAGATTTCTCCCCTGAATGGAAGATTCTGGATCTGGTTGCCAGCAGATATTGCAAGAGTGTCAGGGATCGTGAAAGGGAAGAATCATATGTTTCTGACCCCAAAATAACACGATCCCAGACTGTCCCTGGGCTGTAGAACTTGAAGACACATGTTAGATAGGCAGCTCGAGGAAGAGACATACTGATTACATATCTCATGGGCCGTCACTCTCTTCACTTCATAACATCACATATGTCACGGTGATTTTTCAGATTACTCTCAACCTAGATACCCTAGATATTCAGATCTCGTTTCTCCAGTGACTCTGCTGGCATCTTCCCTTGGAACTAGTTTTACTTCCTCACTTGCTGTTGGCATCACTTCTTAGATCTTTGCCATGGTATCTGGGTGCCTCCCAAACCCCCAAGTCTACAGAAGCTTTTCCTAGACTGCGGAGTCCTTGGGCCTTTATATCTCCTGATCACTCAAAATGACATCAAACCTCACAAGATTATCTGGCCTTGCTGCTTCTGGATCTACTATCCAGCCCAGCTTTTACCCCTGGATCTTTTCACTGTGTTCAAGGCCAGGGCAGGTGAGATCATTCCAGTTGCTCTTTCATGCTTAAGAAACTTGATAAATTAAGTTGTGTGGGGTCCTGGCAGGCAATACATTTGAGCAGAGTACAGTGGCCATCTGTGGACCAGTCCCTTATCCCTTTTTAAAAGTACATACTCAAAAAAAAAAAAAAAAAAAGCCTCAGAAAGCAATGTTACACATGCTCGACACAAATGAAATTAGAGTCTCAGCAAACAAAATAGAAACTTGCAGTAAATTAAAAAGAGATATAAGGACTCATATGAAAATTTTAGTTCTAAAAATATGTGAATAACTGAAATAGAAAATTTAATAGATTAGGGCTTGTGTTGTGGCTCAGTGGTAGCACGCTCGCCTAGCAAGTGAAAGGCCCTGGGTTTGATCCTCAGCACCACATAAAAACAAATAAAGGTATTGTGTCCAACTACAATTAAAAAAAATAAATAAATATTAAAAAAAAAGAAAAGAAAATTTAGTAGATTAGATTCACAGCTGAATGAGGGGAACAGAGGAAAGAAATCAGTGAACTAGAAGATAGAAAAACAGAAATTATTCAATTGGGAAAACAAACTTGGAACAAACAAATCCCCAAAAGCAAAACAGCATGCCACAGACCTATGTAACAAAAAATCTAAAATGCAAATTATCAGAGTCTGGGAAAAGGAGAAAAGGGTTGAGCACTGCTGATAAATATTCAAATAATGACTGAAACCTCCTAAATTTGGCAATAAGTATAAACTACAGATTCAAAAAGCAAATTCCAAATATATCAAAGGAATCCACACTAAGAAGCATCATAATTAAATTTCCAAAAAATAAAGACAAAGAAAAATTCTCTCTTTTTTTTTTTGTACCAGAAATTGAATTCAGGGGCACTTAACCACTGAGCCACATCCCCAGCCCTTTTTATTTTTTATTTTGAGACAGGTACTTACTAAGTTGCTTAAGACCTTGCTCAGTTGCTGAGGCTGGCTGTGAACTCACGATCCTATTGCTTCAGCCTCCCAAGATGCTGGGATTACAGGCATGCGTGACGGAGCCCAGAATGACAGTGGGTTTCTCAACAGAAAACATAATGGCAGAGGGAAGTAGTAAATTCTTCGAGTGCTAAAAGAAAAGAATTGCCAATCTAGAACACTATATCTACTAAAAATATCTTCTAGAAATGACAGGGAAATCAAGACATTCTCAGAGTGAGGAAAACTAAGAATATAAGGATGACTAAAAGAATTTCTCTAGCTTGGCATGGTGGTGCACACTTATAATCCCGGCAATTTAGGAGGCTGAGGCAGGAGGATCGTAAATTCAAAGCCAACCTCAGCAACTAAGGGTGGGAATGTGGCTCAATGGTTTAAGTGCCCCTGGGTTCTATGCTAGTACCAAAAAAGAATTTATCTAAACACCAAGGGCATGATGGAGAAGAAACACTTCAAAACATCAGGAAGGAAGAAAGTATGGTGAACAAAAATAAGGGTAAATTCAGCCTGGCAATAGTAGCAGAATGTAATTGTTAAGTATGTAATACTATAGTAACCACCACAAAGCTATACAAAGAGATAGGCTAAGAAAATTCTATAATGGTTGGGCTGGGGTTGTGGCACAGTGGTAGAGTGCTCGCCTAGCATGTGTGAGCACTGGGTTTGATTCTCAGGACCACATAAGCAAATAAATAAATAAATGTCTATCAATAACTTAAAAAAAAAAGACACGTAACCCTAAGTGTGTATGTACCCAACAAGAGTTGCATAATATGTGAAGCAGGAAGGAAACAAAAAAAGAACTGGAGAAATAAATCCACGACTATAATTAGGAGTAAAACATCTCTCTTTCAATGATTTTCAGAACTACTACACCAGAAAATCATCAAAGATACAGAATACCAATATCACTATCAATTAGTTAAGAATCAACTAGTTAAGATCTAATTGAAATTTGTACAATATGCCATCCAATAATAGCAAAATACATATATACCCATCTTAAATGTAGGCACTAAACAAAAAAAATACTAGAACCAAACAAACTCAGAACTACAGCTAGTCAGAGCCATGATAGCTTAAAATACATTGTCTGGTTCTGCCCATAAGTGGCTTGCCACTGCCCTCAGAATGAATTCCAGATTTATTGATGTAATTACAACGATTCCCCCCAACCTTGCCTCCTCCTCTTTTTCATTTCAAAATTCTCTCCTTTTTTGTGTCCGTTTTCTAGACACATGAGGCTTTTTCCAGGTTCACATATATCCCACATTCTTTTTTGCCTTTGAATCTTTGTATATACAAGTGCCTCTGCAGTAACCTCTTGTTTCCTAATCTAGGTAATTCCTCAGTCCTATGATATATGAGATACTAACAGGACATCCATCAGTATATTAGCTCCCAGCTAACTCAAAGTAGAATGAAGATCTCCATGTCATTGGTATTCAAAAGTTCTTGGACCATTAGCATAGCATTACCAAAAAACTTGCTGGAAATGTAAATTCGTGGACTCCATCCCAGACCTACAGAACCTCTCTATTCCAGACTTTACAAAGTCTGTTACTATTAGAGACTGGTAGTAAGGTCCTGGAGTCTGAACAAGTTCTCCAAAGTTGGGCACAGTAGTGTACACCTGCAACCTCAGCTTCTATCAACTGAGCTATATTCCTAGCCCTGGCCTCAAACTTGTGATCCTCCTGCCTTAGTCTCCAGAGTTGCTCAGATTATAGGTATGTACCACTATACCTGGCTACAAGCTGACTATAAACTTTCAGATCTTCTCTTATGCCATTTTCCTCTCTGTACCTTAGATACCAGCTCAACTGCACTGGCTGCTATTTCCTAAAAATAATATCCATTACCAATTTCCAATCTGTGCTTAGGCTATGTGTCGCGACCCCCTTGCCCGCAAGGAAGACGCAACTCRGGAATCTTCTTTCAGCAGTTTATTCAGGCCTTTACTTATGTGTCTCTGGAAGCTTCTCCTTCTAACCCGCACTCCTCAGCCTAATAAAGCATTCCAAGCCCCAATGCAAAGCCGCCACGTGGATCTTTCTCATAGGGTGTTCTACAGCTACGTGCCAACTCTCCCAAAATAAGGAGTTGTTATCACAGGCCACGGCGCTTATCAGCGCCATCTTGTAATGGCGACCACGGTCCGCTGACACGGCTCACCACAGCTATGAGCATTAAAATACTGTTAACAATAATATTAAAAGGGCATAAACTTATGATTGTCTATTGCAAGCTGCATATGTGGCTGGAAAATTCCACATCCAATCTTGATGTTTAAGAAAATCTTAGTAAACTAGAATAGAAGCCTACCTTCTTTAGATATACATATTTAAAAAATACATTTGCAGATGATTTGAAACTCAGAAGTTCCAAAGAACCGAGAAACAATTAAAACAATTAAAGTTGAGCTGGGTGGGCTGGTGCACGCCTGAAATCCCAGCAACTCAGGAGGATCATGAGTTCAAAGCCAGCCTCAGCAATGGTGAGGCACTAAGCAACTCTGTGACACCCTGTTTCTAAATAAAACACAAACTATGGCTAGGGATGTGGCTCAGTGGTTGAGTACCCCTGAGTTCAATCCCTAGTAACGCCCCCCCCCCCCCCCCCGCAAAAGAATTAAAGTTGTTCAGTAAACAAACTGGTTATCAAGCAAATCCAAGTATTCATTCCTTTCCTCTATATAAGAAATAATCAGTGAGAAAAAATATATATAGGAAAAAACATTTTTATACAGAATAACAAAAATTTAAAAATATTTAGAAAAGAATACGCTATATGTTATATTCAGATGAAGAAAAGAAAATTATACTGAAAAGCTTTTTAAAAAGAATTTTAGAAAGAGATATTGATTGAGAATCCTAGGTATTCCAGAGGTTGAGTCTAGTCTGGGCAACTTTGTGAAACCCTGTCTCATGAAAAAAGGGATGGGGACAGGACCCTGGGTTCAATTCTCAGTACTGCCCCTACCCCAAAACTCCAAATAAAGAAAGATACACTCATATCTAATAGTTCAATGTAAATTAGTACTTTTTCCTCTGAAGAAACATTTGACAATGAATATTAGAAATCTTAAGCATGTTAATATGATTTATTCTTAAGATTAGAATTCATCCAAAAGCCATCACAGGATGGGGATGTGGCTAAATGGCAGAGTGCTTGCCTAGCTTACATGAGGCCCTGGGTCTGATTCTCAGCACCACAAAAAAAAAAAAAAAAAAAAAAAAAAATCATGAATTCACATAAAGATTTACCTATAAGGATGTTCAGAACAGCCTTATTACTAACAATAAGAAACTAAAAATGCTTAAATATTCAAAAATAAAGATGATTAAACATTATAATACAATAATAAGAGGATACCAATCAGTATTAGTGACCACACATAAGACTATTTATTGACTTACACAGAAAAGTTTATATTAAATGGGAAAGTACAGTTAGAAATCAATTATTAAAAATAGACACAGGTGATTATATGCATGTATGTATGAATGTATGTGCTTACAAAGAAAGAAAGAAAGACTAGAAGGCAAAAAAAACCTCTAAAATAATAATGTATATTATATTTTGGTAATAAAAAATATGAAAAATTTCTTTGCATCCTTCTCCATGTTTTGAATTATCTCTAACAAAATAATATTACTCATACAAGAAAATGTCATTAAAATTTATGAAGAGGGGCTGGAGTGTAGCTCAGTGGTAAAGCGCTTGCCTAGCATGTGTAAGGCACTGGGTTCAATCCTTAGCATCTCATAAAAATAAATAAAATAAAGACATTCTGTCCATCTACAACTACAAAAAAAAAATTAAAAAAATTTATGAAGAGGTATAAATTACTTACTTTAATAGCAATGTTAATAGAAACTTCTTGAATATTAGCAAGTGGTGGGTAAAGTCTCCCCTGAGCTAACTCTTCATCTGTCAATTGACTTGTCAGTGCCTGTAAAGAAAAGCATAATTTTACTTCTGTTAGTTTAAATAACAGAAAGATCTATTAAAATGAAAAAAATCAGTGGAGAAAGAGAAAAGCATAGGTAACAAAATTCTTATTTTTTTGCAGGAATACATAAACCTCTACAGAAATTAAAACTGTTGGGCTGGGGATGTGGCTCAAGCGGTAGCATGCTTGCCTGGCATGCGTGCGGCTGGGGTTTGATCCTCAGCACCACATACCAACAAAGATGTTGTGTCCACCGAGAACTAGAAAATAAATATTAAAAAAAAAAATTCTCTCTCTCTCTCCTCTCTCACTCTCTTAAAAAAAAAAAAACTGTTTATACAAGAAATAAAACAGATTTTTTTTGATGCATTCTACCCAATACATAGAAAGCCTGGCAAAATTACAATATCTACTAAGAAAATAGACATCAGTATTTGTATTAATGTGATTTCTTCAGAATTTCTATTGCAAAGTCCAGTAGCCAGAATTCCAAATAAACTATCTCCATTAAAAATACGGAGAGGGGCTAGAGTTGTGGCTCTGCAGTAGAGCACTTGCCTAGCATGAGCAAGGCCCTGGGTTTGATCCACATAAAAATAAATTAATTAATTAAAGATATTGTATCCAACTGTAACTAAAACATAAATAAAAATACTAAGATATTTATATATTTATATCTATATTGTCTGTCATGGAACCTTTATATTCTCTCTCTCTCTCTCTCTCTCTCTCACACACACACACACACACACACACACACACGCATGCACGCAGAAGTTTTAAACATCATAAATATGAAAGAATTCATAGTTTACAACCAAATGTTTAAAAGTAGACAGGCAAATAAAAAAAGCCATGGGTGGTAACTTCCCTTTCATTAATAGGGCAGAGTTAAACCATTCTCTATTTTAAGACCCATTCATCTTTATAATTATTCTTTTATAAGATAAACATTTTAAACTTACCTTTGCAGCTTCTAGGAAAACATTATCACTGATATGTCGAGTTTGACAGAGAATAACAGCTAAAGCCACACCTGAAAGAAATTTTGAGTACTTTATTTAGTAAGGTCACTTTTCAAATTACGAAAGGGGCCAAATTCCTATAACAAAGTACAGAAGCAGTAATTTACTCCCATCCCAAACAACCCTCAAGAAAAAACAAAAATCTGAGCTAAAAATCAAACCAAATGATTCCTGTTAACTTACAATTGTTATTTGCTTAAGGATGTTATTTTAGAAATAAACGGCTTCTCAATTTAATTTTTAAGTTCACCAAAATTACAAATGCATGTAATCCATCAATATTCATTACAAAAAACACCAATTTCCAGTCTACCTCTAGCCCTCCACTTCTTGCTCAAGAAAAGGAACTACTTTCAATTCATTATTTTAATATTTCTCTCACCCTTAAATAAATTGCTTATATTTCTTCTTATTTGGGGGTTCTAGATATTATTGTTTCTTTCTGGGAAGCAAATATCTAGCTCTCCCCATATTTTCAACCTTTTCCCTTCTTCCCAATATAACAAGCACAAGTTTGGTTTAATCGACCCTCAAAATTTATGTCATTATGGGGCTGGGGTTGTAGCTCAATGGTAGAGTGCTTGCCTAGCATGTGTGGGGCACTGGGTTTGATTCTCATTTATATTTATAAATAAATAAATAAATAAATAAAATAAAGGTCCTTCAACAATAAAAGTATTTAAAAAAATTTATGTCATCATGACTTCATAGGCACTGTTCACATCCAAATGCTGTATCATGATTACTTTTGCTCTTCTGTATAAAGTTCTGTTTCCCCTGAAGTTAATTATTGTTCTGTTTTCCCCATTATTTTGACTTTTCAGTACCTAATTTCATCCTGCAACTCTCCCCCAACTGAAAAAAATCTATTCTGGCTCCCTTGTATATTCTCTAATTTCATACTCTAGCATAAACATCTGCTGAAGCTCTATAGTCTGGTCAGGTTGTTCTCCATTCCAGATGGGGAACTGTCGGTCATCCTGGAAACCCTGGTATCAGCATGGGGATTCTCTTTGCTTTTGGGACCATTTCCTATCTTCCTAGTGTTTTATTTATTTATTTTTAAAAACTCTTTCAGGGCATACTTTCCATGGGTTTTCYGAAAAACAGTGTATGAGGGATACATTTTTTGAAACTTGCATTTCTGAAAATGTGCATGCTTGTCTACTTCTTTCCACTTATTTCATTATCTAGGTTTGGAATTTTGTTTAGAAATAATTCTCTTAGAATTGTGAGGTATCATTCCAATATCTCCTGACTTCCTGTGTTGGTGACAAGTCCAGTGTCAACATGGTTCCAGACCCTTTTTTTTTTTTCATCTCTAGAAACATATAGGATCTTTGCTTTTGTACCTCTGTTCTTCAATTTTATAACACTGCCTTGAGGTACACTTTTGCCCACCATGGTGAATACTCAGTGCTAAGCCATTCYGACCTGAAAACCTGAGTCTTTCTGTTTGAGGAAATGTTCATGAAGTCTTTGAAGCCCCCTTCCTGATCTTTCTGTTCTCTTATCCTAGAGTTTCTCATTACTTCCTGGACTAACCCTTTAATTATCTTTATTTCCCATGTCTTGTCCTTTGCTCTATTTTGAGGTGACTTTCTTAACATCTTCTCTAATCTTTCTGCTCACATACTTTTTTTTAAGAGCTTGTTTTGGAACATAATCTTTTTGTCTCCATGACAATATTGAAAGTTAGAAAAAACTTTCCACCTCTTATCACAGTCCTTTTTTGTCTCCAATATGCCCTTTTTTGCTTATCTGCTCTGGTTTCTTATTTTCCTTTAATGACTAGAAATCTGAACATTTCTAATGTTTGGAGTGGTACATATGAGCACAACAGTGTCACCCTCTCTGAGCACAGCTGTAGAATGATGTGGCTTTCAATCATCCTACTGAAGAATTAGAAGATTGACACCTCTGTTCTCAGCTGTATCTGGTGACTCCCATTTTAGGTACTGTTTTATTTATTCCAATAATATGCCATCATCATTGCAGAGATGGGAAGAACATTCATTCAACTACCAAGGGAAAAAAAGAGGATCACATAATTAGCAGCTGCCTTATTTTAATGGAGCCTACCACACATACGTATCTGTGTGTGTGTGTGTGTGTGTGTGTGTATATATATATATATATATATATATATATATATATATGTATATATCTCAAACTTTTTAGTTGTAGATGGACACAATATCTGTATTTATTTATTTATTTTTATGTGCTGCTGAGAATTGAACCCAGTGGAACTGGTGAACATCTCACACTTGCTAGGCAAGCACTCTACCATTAAGCCACAACACCAGCCTGGTACATATATTTTTAAAGTAAAGCATATGATTCATGTATATTTTTTAAAGTATCTTTTTAAAAGTATTTTTTAGTTGTTGATGGACCTTTATTTTATTTATTTGTATATGGTACTGAGAATTAAACCCAGTGCCTCACACGTGCTAGGCAAGTGCTCTGCCACTGAGCCACAACCCCAGCCCCATCATGTAGATATTTAAATGTTTGGGATTAAATCTACTGTCTTCCTATATTTGCCAAGTCCAGTATATATTCCTTTTTCTGGGTTGTTTAATAATATTGTTTTACCCCCTAATAAATTTTAATTTATCATAAATTTTAAGTTTTTTTCTAGTTTTTGAGTGGTTATCCTAAAATTTAGAACATGTCCATAAGTAATCAAAATTCCATATTAATTTTAATTTTTCTGCCAGAGAATGCAAGTCCCTCATAATAGTTTAATTCTATTTAACCTAAAAGCATTCTTGTTATTTTATATCCATGTAGTTTTCTAAATACCATGTGGTTACAGTTGAGCTCTCTGTACACAATACTGGTTTTGTTTTACATGCATATTCACAACTTTTGCTTTTCATTCTTTCCTTCATCTTTAAGCTTCTATTTGGGATTTTACTATTGCCTAAGGAACAATATTTCCCTTCCTTTCATACAAGTGTGTAGGTGGTGAATTCTGTTTTCTGAAATGTCTTCATTTTGCCTTACTTCTTCCAAGATTTTCACTGTGATGATCTAGGTTGGCAAGTATTTCCTAAAAGTAAAATAAACATATAATCCCACTGCCTTTCGGCATATTGTTAAGGAGTCCAATGTCAGCCTAAGAGTTGTTCCTTTGAAAGAAATATTTTTGATCTGGTTGCTTTCATATTTTCTCCTTGTTGTGATTTTTCTGAAATCTCACAATGAGGTTCCTGAGTAGATTTTTAAAACCTATCCTGCGTAGGTTTCAATGAGCTTCTTGACTACTGTCATTTACCAGTTCCAAGAACTTCTTGGCCAAAGGCCTGCAAATGTTGACTCTGCTTTATTCTCACTTTCTTCTAGGACTTCAGTTAAAAATACAACATTAAAGATATATCTCTTACCTATTTTTTTGTATTTTCCTTTCTGTCTTTGTGCTTTGTTCTCTATTGTCTCTTCTCAGATAGTTTCTGAGTTGACCAATTCTCTTTGGTCTATTCTGCTATAAGCCTCATTTACAATTCAGTTCTTATTGTTATTTTTGAATTCTAGAATTCAGTAGTTTTTGGCTGAGGTTTTCGAGCTTGGCTTTATCTCTATAAACTTAATAAGCATTTTGGTTTCTTAGCACTTGTCTTATATGTAGAATTTTAGCAGGTCTGTTTTTCTTGTGGTCTCTGCTGGCTTTGGCTTGTGTTGTCATGTCTCTTTATGTGTCTCATTATCTTTAGAAAAATAATCTGAAGACTTAGAATACTGTTATTTCAGAGAAGGTTTGTTTGCTTCTGTTGGGCCCTTGCTGGCACTGGCAGTCCAGAACAAAGGCTTGAGGTTTTCTAGATCACCCACTGCCACTGCAAACCATAACCCCATTCCAAAGTACAGTCCTTTTGGGTTTCAGACTGGAGAGGGAAGGGTTCTTTCCTGAATTTTGATCTGGAAAACATTTTATTAGAGCCAATGTCTGATTAGCCTATTGACCCTTTTAAGGTTGTTTTGTTTTTAAAATTTCATACAGTTATTACAAGTAATTCCAAAACAATCAGAGCCTTAAGTTTTTAGTTGCTTTACATACAGACTCTGAGACAATCTTCCTGTTTAAAGGCCATTTTTATCTCCACTGCCAGGTCATTTTTCATGTTCACATTTGTGGTGCTAATAATTTTTATTAATAAAGTTAGAATTTAAAAAAATATTTTTTAGTTGTATATGGACATAATAACTTTATTTTATTTTATGTGGTGCTAAGGCTAAAACCCAGTGCCTCACATGTCTGAGGTAAGCACTTTACTACTGAGCTACAACCCCAACACAATAAAGTTAGAACTTTAAAATGTTGAATAAAAAGTAATCAACTACCAAACTCCTTACTAGTCAAATATGATATTAAAGTAGTTTTAGTAAAATARGCAGAGATGTGTTCCCTTCCCATTTCCTCATGCATTTATACCATAGAAATATTACTGAAGCTGGGCAAGGTGGGGCACGCCTATAATCCAGTGGCTCAGGAGGCTAAGGCATGAGGATCATGAGTTCAAAGACACCCTTTGCAACTTAGCAAGACCCTGTCTCTAAATAAAATATAAAAAGATCTGAGGATGTGGCTCAGTGGTTGAGTGCCCCTGGGTTCAATCCTCAGTACCAACAAACAAAAAAAGAAACACTACTAGATAGAAGAGGTTGATTTCGAACATTATCAAGTTCTACAAAAACATCATCAATGATGGGAGTTTCTATTACAGTTGCCAGGTATCAAGAGACAACAATAACTATACTGGAAGAATGTTCTACATAAAAGCACTGGCATACTTATTGGCTAAATACATCCTTATTGTGACAATAGTAATAACATGCTTGTCTAAGGTGTGCTATTATGTGCTTTGCATCTACCTGCATCTTAATGGGAGCCTGCTGTCAGCTGCTAAGGGTAAGACCCACAGGGGAAGGAAGACAAAAGTGCAAAGGAATTCATGCCAAATCCCTGTACTGCTCAATATAGTCATTCTTAAAAAGAAACTGACAACTAAGGATAATCATAAATTTATGGGGAGGGGAACAGCACAAAGGATAGAATATTGCAAGGAAGAAAGAGATGAAAGAAAATCTAAAACTTTTTTTTAAAGAAACTATTAAATTAATTCTGGAATAAGAAAATATTAAAGGAATAAAAAATTGTTCAACTGAATGAATTGACAATATATGCTATTAAGCATATTGGGCAATTATTATTAATTCCTTTGGTATGATAATAGTGAGGTGGTCATGTTTTAAAATTCAAAAATTTAGCCAGGCGCAGTGGCGCTCACCTATAATCCCAGCAGCCTGGGAGGCTGAGACAGGGGAATCTCGAGTTCAAAGCCAGCCTCGGCAAAAGCAAGGCACTAAGCAACTCAGTGAGACCCTGTGTCTAAATAAAATATAAAACAGGCTGCAAGTGTGGTTCTGAGTTCAATCCCTGGTACTCACCGTCCCCACTCCAAATTAAAAAACTTAATTTTCTGAATATATACTGAAGTTGTTATGAATAAATTTATACTATGTTTCCAATCTCCTTTAAAAAGACTTAAAAAAAACCACACTAGAAGTGCCAAAAAAAACTTAACAGGCATTGATGAATGAGGAAATATCACAGAAACCTTCCACGTTATGAGATAAAATGGCAAAGATGAAAACAGGAAATAAAATTTTGAAGTCAAAGACAGAAGAGAAAGGATTCTACCCATGATCTAATGTCAACTTTGTAAGGAAAAAAACTGAAGTTCTAGAAGGAAAGAAATGGAAGGGAAAAAAAAGTTAAATGGGAATAAACCCAACCTAGATACATTTTAGTAAACTTTCAGAAATATAAAGAGAAAAGTGTGAAGACTCTGAGAGAAAAAAGTTATTATGCATAAAGGGATGTGATTCCTTTTATCAGATTTCTTATCAGCAACACTAACCTTAACAAAAAGTGAATGGTCTTCAAAGGTCTGATGACAAAGACTTTGACTTTACCCAGCCAAACCATCAAGTGAGAAGACAAAATAAAGATAATTTCAGATCTGTAAAACCTCAGGAAGATTTCATACGTTCTTTAGGAAAAAAAAAAAAAAAGAAAAAAAAATCTTTAAAGATGTATCCAGAAACACGAGGGAGACAGAATAGAAAAAGAAGATGGGACAGAATAGTTTACTCTTGAGTAAGATCAAGGAAGAAAAGAAGAAATTCATTATACTTGATAATACTTGAAATATTCTGAACATCAAAAATTAATGATACAGAACTATATCTTCTAGTGTATTTGTCAAACCACACTGTAGCTGGTGAATAACATTTATATAATCATGGGGTTTTTTTTGTTTTTATAATTTTGATTTTGAATATTCACAATCTATAGCGGAAGCATGGAAAACAAAAGAATACAATGTATCAAAAAAATTCTCTACAATGTAGAAATATTGACAAATAAAACTGAAAAGTAGAAAAAGAAAGTAACAAGATTTTTTTCATTTAGCAAGCTAATAAAAACTCAAATTGCTAACAAAAGCTTGAAAAGCTCTTTAAGTAAGTTACATAAAGATAAAAGCAACTACTTAAGAAAACAAACAGTAATAAGACAAATTGAGTGGTGGATGAAGAAAGGTATCAGAAGGCATGTGTGCGCTATTACTTGTATTTCGTAGTGGAAAGTTCAAACATACAGTTGAGTTACAAGAACTGTGATAAAAGGAGATGAGTGGGCCTGATGGTGACTGCCAGAAAAAGTCAGAACCAACCACTGGTGGTAGTTTTATCTGACAAGTGTGGTTAAGAAGACACTAGGGGGACATAGAGAGGGTTAAGCAATTTTCTACCACTTTGCTCCTTTGCATTTTTATGAACCACATACTATATATTATTTCTAAAATAAAAACAAGATTAATATGAATAAACAAATTTTTAGGGGAAAGAGAGCAAATTGGAAGTTACTGAATTCCTTGAATTTCCCTATACATTTGTAACAAAATTCTGCAAACACCAATGTTTATTCCAAAAAATTTCAGGAAGTATTTTTATGTAATTCCTTATTGCTTTGTAACAAAAATAATGTATTGCTTTGTAACATAAATAATGGTGACATTTACCTGGGAAAATATATACATTATTTCCTTGACCTGGTGTAAAGACTCGCCCATCTTGGAGTTTCACTGGCCCAAATGGACTACCACTGGCAAACAAACACCTTCCCTGTAAATGAAATGAAATAATCTCAACTTTGTTCCTCTACATGGATGAGAAAATTGAGGTGAATTCATATAAAGTTAAGTCCTCTGGTAAATCAGACCAATAAATCACCTGCCAACAAAGCATCATTTACTGTATAACAAAACCTTTTATTAGGATAAGGACTATTTTATGCATAGTATTACATTCAAATAAACCTGAAACATGTCCATTACAGTAAACTTAAAAATTCTGATACTTCTAGTTCCTTTACAAAAATGAAAATGTAAATGGTCCACAAATATAATCCCAATAAAGATGGATATACATTGTGAATGAAGGAGGAAATGTCACAATTAATTTACTACCATTTACTGTATATCTCCTGTTTTGGGTTCTGTACCAGGTGTTTTATATGTTAATTCAGTTAACTTAGCTCTCCTGAAAACCTTATGAAATTACCATCATCTTCATTTCACTGATTATTAAAAAAACCCCCAAAAACCCTTGATAAAATACTTGGTAAAAAGTTACACATCAAGGCTGGGGCTGGGGCTCAATGGCAAAGCACTTGCCTTGCACAGGTGAGGCACTAGGCTTCAGCACCACATAAATAAATAAACCAAATAAAGGTACTGTGTCTATGCATAACTAAAAAATATTTTTAAAAAAGTTACACATCAAATTTGCAGCAATTAAACTTGACTTGAATTTTTTTATAACTCCAAAGCTCAAGTCTATTATGCTATAATACTCTCTAGCAGGCAATTTATAAAATAGCATTGTACAATCACACTGATTCCAGAAAAAAACTGGTATTTTACCTTGTTAAAGAAAATATTTTGCTAAACACAAGATATTGAAAATACTGGCTGGGCACAGTGGCACACACCTGTTATCCCAGCAGCCTGGGAGGCTAAGGCAGGAGAATCCCAAGTTCAAAGCTACCCTCAGCAACTTGGAGAGGCCCTAAGCAACTGAGCAAGACCATCTCTCCAAAAATAAAAAAAATAAAGGGCTGGAGCTGTGGCTCAGTGGTTAAGCACCCCTGGGTTCAATCCCTGACACAACAAAACAAAACAAAAACAAAACCAAAAATAATCTGTTAAAGTCTCCACATATTTTGTAGTCATCTGATTTAGTTCTTCGATCTATAATGGCATATAATGTTACTAGCACCTTCATTACTTCTAAAAGAATTAGATGCCTATATAATTGAAAATACTGGAGATTTAATTTATATAACAAAATCCTTTACATATCATTCCCTATCCCCACCTTCTTCTCCCTCCCTCTCAAAAAGACAAGAAGAAAACAATAGTGCTCAAACAGAATACTCTATCTTGTAATACTCAGGAATAACTAAAATAAGCCACGGGTCAATAGGTTAAAAGATAATTTACAGAAGACTGAAATATCTCCACTCAGAAGGATGGACAAATTACCATGACACCTGAACATTCAACCAAGTTATAATAAGTGTTTGGACACTGCTTTATCTTCTTTTTCTCAGATTTGAAAATATATATTATATCAAGAATAATGATTATTCTTCAGAATAGATCTGGGCACTAGTGAATTCATTAACATTCAAGAATTTGACTCTAGGCAATTTGTCCACAAATTTATGTTAAACATGTGCAAGGCTGCAGTTTTCAATTTCAAAATGATACAAAGTTTAAGTGTGAAAGCAAGTTCACTATGGTAATGGTGGCCCAGCTGACTAGTTTGGATTTGCAACTCCATACAGCTATGTAATTTTTCTACTCACTCTACAGATAGTTATTATAATCCTCTACTTGTCCTAAACATAGCTCTACCTGTGGCAAAAAAGTTTTATTTCTTTGATGAGTAATGTCACTGTATGTCTTAGGTCATATGTTACCAAACTAAAATATACAGAATATTTTTGTGGCACCATTAATTTTAATAGCCTTATTAAGTGGATTATACAATATAGTACTTTACAGGAAAATGTTATGCCTTCACAATATCAGTCAGTTTGCAGACTTAGAAAGATTTTAGGAATGTCTTAAATGGAATCTACATTTTCTCCCAGGTCACCTTTATCTTCTCCCTCCCCCGAAATCAAAATGGAGCTTAAACATAGCCAGATCTTAATGATAACAGCATTCTCATTCTGAAGTCAACCTGGCCAATTTGAACAAATGGCCATTAAAACATGAGACATTTGGGGCTTTTTTTTGTTTGTTTATTTTAAGTATTTTTCTCACTGAGCAGCAGAGGGTGTTAGAGTAACACTAAGACATGTCTCCACTGAACAGGACACCAAGAGTTGACTGCAACCATATAGAAACTTCTGCCATTATTTCATGTAGCACTAAGAATTCACATAAAGTTAAAACTATGAGTCAGTGCCTTCCTATTTCTTGGTAAGAGACAGGATGACTTCAAAGTTATAAAAATTGCAAAAAAAAATTTGCATCTTAAAACTGCTGAAATGCCCAGGCATGGTTGCACATGCCTGTAATCCCAGTGGCTAGGGAGGCTAAGGCACTAAGCAACTCAGTGAGATTCCGTCTCTAAATAATGTACAAAATAGGGCTGGGGATGTGGCTCAATAGTCAAGTGCCCCTGGGTTCAATCCCCAGGACCCTAAAATAAAAAACCCCTGCTGAAATGCAGTATATCAAACCAGTCTCCCTTGGGAATTTTAATATTCATCCCAATAATGTATACTTTATCAATAAAATTTATTCAAAAATTCTAGAGTAGAATACACTACTACTGCTCAATACATTCAATTTTTTTTTTTTACATTTTAGAAATGCCAAACCCATAATACATTGAATATATGTACCAAAAAGTCATTATGTAAGATTAAGGTTTAATTTTAGGGACAAAAACTATCCATTTTATGTAAAACCTGGCGGATAGGATAGGCAATCAATCTAAAAGTAATACCATATTTAGCAAAAAGATCAGGCAGTACACTGAGACTGATTCTAAAAACTATGATGATTCTGAAACTGATTTTCTTTCTTTATTTAAAGAGATGGGGCCTCATTCTGTTGTCCAGTCTGGTTTCAAATTCCAGATCCTCCCACTTCAGCCTCTGAGTTGCTGAGATTACAGGTGCATGCCTCTGTGCCCCATGCAATTAATTTTTAAAAAGGAGGAAGTGCCAGATGCAATGGGGTACACTTAATTCCAGCTACTTGGAAGGCTGAGGCAGAATGAGCACCAACTTTGAGGACAAACTGGGCAATTTAGTAAGCCTCTGTCTCAATATAAAATTTAAAAAGGGCTGGGGACATAGTTCAGTGGTAGAGTGCTTGTTCATGCACAAGACTTTAGGTTCAATTCCTAGCACTGCCAAAAAAAAAAAAAAAAGAATGAATGAATTTCTTTTTTTTTTTTTTAAAGAGAGAGTGAGAGAGGAGAGAGAGAGAGAGAGAGCTCAATCGCGCTACCGATTGAGCCACATCCCCAGCCCATGAATGAATTTCAATAATTATTGTATTTATTGGATGTCATCACAGAGAAAAAAACAGAATAGTAAAGATGTAAAGACACAAATATTAAGTCCAGAAAGTTCTGAGAAAGTGCAGCTTTAACAATAATCTTCTAGGTTGCTTCATATTAACTTTCTCTAAGGTTACAATTAAAAAAAAATATCCGTCCATTTTTCAGGACTAAGGATTAAACTCAGGGTTGCTCTACCATTGATCTACATTCCAAAGCCTTTTCTATTCTTTCCAAGTAGCCTGGATTACAGGTGTGCATCACTGTACTTGGTTAAAGTAAATGTATTTTTAAAAATGTTCTTTGGGCTGGGGATGTGGCTCATGCAGTAGCGTGCTCGCCTGGCATGCATGGGGCGCTGGGTTCGATCCTCAGCACCACATAAAAACAAAGATGTTGTGTCCACCAAAAACTAAAAAATAAATATTAAAAAATTCTCTCTCTCTCTTTAAAAAAAAATGTTCTTTTTGTTAATATTTTAAAAACGTTCTTTAAAAAAAATTACCAAGATAGTGAAAGTGTGGTGTTAGGGGTGGAAGGGAGATGGTTTTTAACACCCAAAAGAAGAGGAAAGCAAGATACAAGGCCAAGCTGGGCAAGGTGGCGTATGCCCATCATCCCAGAGGATCAGGAGGCTGAGGCAGCAGTATGGTTCAAAGTCAACCTCAGCAAAAGTGAGGTGTTAAGCAACTCAGTGAGACCTTGTCTCTAAATAAAATACAAATAAGGCTGGGGATGTGGCTCAGGGATCGAGTGCCCCTGAGTTCAATCCCAGTAAACAAACAAACAAACAAATAAACAATAAAAAGGGCTGGAGATGTAGCTGAGTGGTAAAGTATCCTTGGTTAAATCCCCAATATATAAAAAAAAAAAAAGGAAAAGAAAAAGACATAAGGTCAGTAATTAAATGTTTTCCCCTCAACTGGTAATTTCAAAGGCAAAAACTGTGGCTTTTACCTGTGTAACAAAGATATCAGGAATTTCATGATGACACAGAAAAACTGAAGTTCAGGGACCACTAAGAATGAAGGTTGCTGGTAAATACTCCAGGGCTTTGGAGCCATACCCAAAGGGGTACACATTTGGAGGAAGAAGAAACTGGAAACAGACTAGGCCTCACCTAGACTGCATCCTGGTTGGATTATGATGATGTACCCCATCCTAATAGTCACCAGAGGATACATGAAGCCCCTCTGGAGGAAGAGAATGTCATCCAGACCCTCAAATGATTGTTATAATTCTTCACTCATACTATCCAGCACTCAATAAAAAACAAACAAACAAACAACTAGGCTTATGAAATGACAAAAACTATTTACCCAAGGGAAAAAAAAAAGGAGACATAATAAAAGTGGACTTACATAAATTGAGATATTTGCTATAATCAGAACCTTCAATTGTAATTCAGTGTAATCCCCAGTACCACCAAAAAAAAAAAAGAAGAAAAAAAATCCTGTAATTGTAATTCATATATATTCAAGAAATTATTTTACCCAACTTTATCACAGATTTATTACTTTATTTATTCTCAAGGGTATGACCTAACAATCATAACTGCTGAACACCATTATAAAGAGGCCTTTATGGGCCAGGTATGGTGGCCCACACCTGTAATCTCAGTGGCTCCCAGCAGCTGGGGAGCTGTGTCAGGAGGATCACAAGTTCAAAGCCAGCCTCAGCCACTTAGCAAAGCCCTAAGCAATTCAGTAAGAGCCTGTCTCTAAGTAAAATATAAAAAAAGGGCTGGGGATGTGGCTCAGTTTAAGTGCCCCTGAGTTCAATCCCTAGCACCAAAATGAAAAGCCCTTATATTCATTCTCTGGGGGGGCTGGAGGTGTAGATCAGTATAGAATGCTTGCCTAACACAAGCAAGATCCTGAGTTCAATCCTCAACAGAAAGGAAGGAAGGAAGGGAGGAAAGAAGGAAGGAAAAAAAATCACTTTCTAGAGCCACTTAAAGATCAATTACAAGAATAAAGGAAGTGATTATGCTATGAAGATTACAAGTATAGAACATTAGGGAGGAAAAAGCCAAACAGAACTGTCTTAATGGTATATAGGCAGGTATTTGTAATTGAGATATAACCTTGTGACAATGTCAAATAATTTGAAAGTACTAAATCTCAAAACAATTTTAAATAAAAATTTGTTACAGGAAGCTATCAGTTAACTCAAAAAAATGACCTAGTAAAGATAAACACTGATGGTGAAGTGAGTAAAAAATAATTGCTTCATAAAATATGGGGAAGGAAAACAATCTATAAACTGATAATTTCTGCGATTTTAAGTCTGTCATTAAACTAATCAATTATAAAAGAAACAGAAAGTCTACAAATGAAAATAATGCAATAATTAAAATTAAGAACCTAAAAAAAAAAACTAGTACAACTGGAAAGAGAATCTGCAAACAGGAAGAAGGTCCAAAGAAAATCATCAGGCTGAAACACAGAGCAAAAAGGATGATATATACAGAAAACAATGTAAGGGATAATGGAGATACAGTGAAGTCTGATCGTGCAACTGGAGTTCCATAAGAGGAGAGAGAGATTATGGCCAAAGCATAGGAAACTGAAAAACAAAACAAAACCAGATATCAAGCCACACATTCAGGAGCCCTATAATCTCTAAGTGGAATAAACACAAAGATACATTATTGTAAAACTGCTAAAAACTCAAGATGAGGAATCAAAAGAAAAACAGAAGTCAGAAAACAGTACTATCTTCAAAGGCTGAAATAATGTAACCACCAACTTTTGCTTCTATACAGAACAAAAATATCCTTGTAACAAACAAACAAAAAAATTAAATAAACCCTCTAGCTTCACTTGCTATTAGCTAACAAGAATGACTCACTTGGAGGCCACATGGCTGGAAAATACATTGTTAGTATTCCACTAGCTTTGTTCTAAGTAATACCTCTGACATGTGGGTTATGATAATGATTGTCTACGTTACTTTTCATGGACTTGAGGCCAGTTTTGCTAAAAATACTGACTCTTCTCTTGGGCCTAAAGATGTGTGACAGGTGACTACTATGAGATGAAAAGGCTCAGCCTATCTGTCTTTATACCACATTTGTCTCCTTTGTTGCCTTAACCTTTGTGTCAGACTCTACTTAGCACTGCATGTAGACATGGTAATCATCTGGGAAATGCTTTGTCCAAAACTATAATATAGGGTTAACTTGGCCTAGACTTGCCCAGTCTCTCTCCTCTCCACTTCAAGGCTAAAGAGACCCACCAGTCCTCATAATTGGAAACACCAGACCACGAAAGGAGTGAAAAGAGGTGGTACATGAGTTCCTGTAAAACCTCACCTATTTCCAGAAAAAACTTGAATGTTCCTCTCCTTTATTAGCCTCTAACTACATTATTATCCATGTAATTGAGAAGCTGAGGTGTGAGCATGGGCTCCCACTTCTCTACTCCTTGGCCATCAAATAAAGCCTTTCTTTTCCCCTAATGGTCATCTCTCAGACATTGGTTTTGCTGTGGATGAGCCTCCAAACCTGGGTTTGGTAACAAGTCAAAAACGAAGGCAAAAAATTATCAAGAGAATTCACCAGACTCACACTTAAGGAAAGGAGTTATTCTAGTAGGAGAAAATGATCCTCGACAGAAGCACAGACATGAAGGAAGGAAAGAATAAGGACAGAAAAAACTAAGGTGCAGGTCAAATCCAAATGAAAAATTTACATAGAAAAACAATAATGCCCTTTGGGTTTAAAATGTACAGAGAAAAACAATAGTGCAAACAATGTAAGGGCCTTAAAACAGGAGTTATATAACTGTTTTCCAGAATTGATATAAGTCATTTATATCACCCTGATGACCCATGGATGTATATTATAATCTTCAGTGAAACTGCTAAAAGAAGCATGCAAGAATATGTAATTAGTAAGTTAATGGATGGAGAAAACAAAACATAACCAATTCATATAATCATTATTAATACCTCTGTAAGTGTATACGCTTCTTCAGGTGTGCACTCAGCCTTTGTTGTAGGATTACTTAATGCAAATATTATAGGCCTTTCATTGATACGGGCCATGGCTTTGATTACAGCAGGAGTAAAAAGCCGGCCAGCACCTGCAACTCCTGCAATAAATAAGGGGGAAAAGTAACTTCAGCAGAGATATAATTAAGAACGTACCAATAGCATCTCTATAATAGGTTAACCATAACAAAACCATATATAATCTCATTATAAAGATAAAATTTGCATTGCTAATACTCTGAGAACACAATCTTTAAATCTGAAAAGAAAAACAATGAAAGGCTGAAAATTCTCATCTAAATATTTATTACTACCACATGCATAGCAAATTATAGAAGATTAAAAAAAAAACAAAAAAAGGATAACACTATCTATAGCAGCCAGGTGTGACGGTGCATGCCTGTAATCCCATCGTCTAGGTAGGCCAAGGCAGGAGGATTACAACTTTGAAGCCAGCCTCAGTAACTTATCGAGGTCTTAAGGAATTTATTTAAGACCTTGTCTCAAAACAAAAAATAAAAAGGTCTTGCTCAGTGGTTAAGCACCCCTGAATTTCATCCCCAGCACACCCCCCCCAAAAAAAAAGAAAGAAAGAAAAAGATTATCTATAGCACTCTAAGACAAAACTTGTATGAACCTTTTAATGAATTTAATGAATGAACTTCAGAACATTAAGCTAAATAAAATGTACTAGTGACAAAAAGACAAAAATTTTATGTTTTCATTCATGAGGTGCCTAGCGTGCAGAAAGTAAAATGCAGTTGCCAGGAGCTGGGAGAATGGGAATTATTGTTTGATGGGTATTAAGTTTTAGTGTCACAAAAGAAAAGAATCCTGGAGATGGCTACACAACAATGGGAATATATTTAAAAATGGTTTGGGATGGCAAATTTTGTGTATATTTTACCACAGTTTAAAAAAGTTTAAAAAGACGAGGAAACCTGTCTCAATTGTTAAATTGTTGAAATTCTGTGGCACTCATTACAAAATAAAAGAAGTTCAGAAGAGATAAAAGATCATCTTGATTGCTAAGCAATCAATATTTGATACAGTTCAGTTGAGTTTTTAATGTCCCAGACACAGAATGGGGCCATAAAGATGCAAAAATGATTATAATGCAGGCAGGTTACAGTTGAGGAAAAAAAATTAAGAAAATAAACAGAAAACAAAACATTTTCAATGGTTGTTAGGAAAGAACAAGTGCAAGGTTGCAGAAGCACACACTTAGGTCGAAGCAAGAAGTGGCGACAACTAAAAATGCATCTGCTGAGGTCTTTTTGCTTCCTTAACCCTCTGGAAGTAGAATGAGTCAGTGGATACATTTCTAGGTTTCCATATGGAGTTCTTTTTTTTTTAAAAAGATCTTTTTTTTTTTTTTTTTTTTTTTTTGTACTGGGGATTGAACTCAGGGGCATTCAACCACTGAGCCACATCCCCAGCCCTATTTTGTATTTTATTTAGAGCCAGGATCTCTCTGAGCTGCTCAGTGCCTCACAATGAACAAGGCTGGCTTTGAACTTGAAATCAGCCAGTTTCAGCCTCCCAAGCCACTGGGATTACAGGCATGTGCCACCGTGCCCAGCCCAGCCCATATTGAGTTTTGGGGGGAATGAAAACAGAGTCTTTAAGCTTTCTTCTCACTATAAAAAATTAAGAGTTGTTGAGCATTTAGTTAAAAGATTTGTTTCTTATACTTTTAAGTGCTTGTGTGCTCTGCAGTTGAGCTACATACTCAGTCATTACCATCTCAGCCACTTTGTAAAACTTTTGAGACAGGATCTTGCTGAGTTGCCCAGCTGGCTTAGAACTTTCCATCCTCCTGTCTCAGCCTCTCTAATAGCTGGGACTACAAGTATGCATCACTATGCCCTGACAAACACTCCATTTTTAAAGACTTAATTTCTCTGCTGAGAATTCAGTGCTATGTTGGCAACTGATGTCAGCTGTGCAAAGCTTGACTCAAAACACTTGGAAGATTTCAACTTTGTTGCTAATGAAATGCTGCATTGGATTATCCCAAATAGTCTGTCAAATGAACTACATCTTTTTAAGTTTTGAGCATGACTACCCTAACTATAAAAACAAAGCACAATAAGGAGCAGGGTGGGCATGCACACACATGCCTATAATCTAGCTACCAAGAAGGCTGAGCCTAGGAGATTAAGACCAGCCTGGGCAACATAGTGAAACCCTGTGCTTAAAACAAAACAAAACAAAAAAACCCCCCAAAGAACAGCAATCCCTTAGGGAAGGAGGTGAAGGAGAGGATACAAGCAAAGTATAATCAATTGCAGAGCACACAACATTTAAAAGTATAAGAAACATCTTTTAACTAAATGCTCAAGCATCATGACCAAAAAGCTGTCTCAGAAAATGTGAATCAACTCTCTGTATTTGTGGGGTTCTGCATATGTGAATTCAACCAACTGCAAACAGAAAATACTTAAGGAAAAAACTGTGCCTACACTAGCATGTACAGACTTTTCCTTGTCCTTATTCCATAAATAATACAGTATAACAACTATTTACAATGTATTAGGTATTATAAATAATCTAGAGATACTTTAAAGTATATAGTAGAATATGCATAGGTTATATGCAAATACCACACCTTTTAATATAAGAGACTTATATCAGATTTTGGTATCCATGAGGATCCTGGAACCAATCCCCCCTAAAAGGCCAAGGGATAACTGTTTATGTTAAAAGCTAGGCAGAAATGTCAATTCATTCTTAGTAATCTCACAGAGTAGTTACAACTGGTAACAGTTAAGTAATAGAATGATTTGTCAACAACTTTACTTACCAATTATAGTTGAAGGCTTAATTATATTTACTGCATCTTCAAAAGTATCAGGTGTGCTTTCTGGAGCTGGGTGAGCAAATGGTTCCTGATTACTATCTATTTTAGCACTCCGCCCCTAAATTTTTTGATAAAATACAGTAGTTTTTAGTGAGTGCATAATGAAGATTAACTGAGAAGACAACATTTTATGAGTTACATACATATTATTTCTACAATAGAGATGTCTTTTCATTTACTTTTCTTCTTAACTCATTTATTTCATTTCCAACTTCACAGTGTCCAAATATATATCAAATTCCATTACGATCAGGAACTTTCTAGTCTCTTTCAAAAACTCATTTATTCTATGAAGTATACCAAAATTGAATATGGCACAAAGGCCTTACAACCCTTTATCTGAGCAGGCTGAGTTTGGGAATTAAGAATTTCTCATATTTAGGAATGCAATTTGGCATTCTAACAAGTATTATGAATATTCCCTGACAAATGGGCACTCTACAATGGAACAAACTTAACCAGTCACATCAAGTAAAAAGGTGTATTTCTTTATTTACTTTTTGCAGTGCTGGAGATCAAACCCAAGACCTTGCACATTTGAGGCAAGCAATCTAAAATTGAACTACATATCTCTATATTCCCCCATATTTGCTCCCCTTTTTGTGAAGCAGAAAGTTTAAGTCTATAAATAAGCCTCTCCTAAGTTCAGGTCAGGTTTTGCTACCAGATAAATTCAGATCAATTAAATCTGTCACCAAAATGAATTCAGAAAAAAGCTCTGAGATTTCAGAGTTTTAAGACTTCAGAATTACAGAAAGACATCATGGGCTTTTACTACAAAGAGTACAAAAACAAGAGGAACAGTGAATTCTGGTTCAAGATGGCTAAACAACAACAACAAAAAAAACATCTTTCTAATTCCCAGGGGTAAAAAAAAAATAAAAATAAAAACTTAGTAATGCCATAAAGCCAAAAAAGTAACACTGACAGCCTATGACAATGAATTTCTAAGATTTAAAGCACACAAAACATACCAAGCACCAAATCAACAAGCTGAGAAACCTGCATCTTTATTTTAGTAAAAGAGAAGCCTTCTCCCCACAATAGGAAAAGTTTTTCATCAGAACTCCAGAATAACCAGGCAAGAACCAGAAGGGGCTGGGAAAAAAGTGGGCCATCACAAGTTGGCCAAGCAGTTAATTAAATGACTGAAATACAACCTTATTGGTCTGGTTCTCAGAACACTGTTTTCTTATTCTTGGCCCCAGGATTTCCAAAGCTCTCCAGTTTGAGGGTTTAACAGAAAAACTCTCTAAATGGACTACAGTGTTTAGGGTCACCAAAAGAGACTAGGAGCCTAAAACCTAGAGTTTAAGCTACCAGCACATCCTAAAATAAATACTCTGAACCTGAACAGGAATTCTCACTTGCTACTACCACACTGTTCATTGGATCTACTGTTATAATCACAAAACACCTGACAAAAACCAACATTACAAAATGAAGCAGTAGAAATAGGTAATCTATGTACCAGTAGAAATATGTAATCTCCTCCATAACCTTCTAAAACTGTGATGGCTTATAAGCCTTGCACTTTATATACTAGCAAATATAGTAGTTATGCTCCCCTTAGGGAATAGCATGGTTTAATGATTCAGAGCATGGGCTTTACAATCAGACTTCTTATGTTTAAATTCTCTCCATCACTTATAAACAAATGACCTTGGAAAAGTCCCTGACCATTTTTAAAATTCAGTTTCCTCAATTAAAAAATCTTCACAGAAGAAACAAAACAAAAAAACCAACCACAGGAGTTTTGAAAGAACTAAAGATAATAAGCTCTTATCACAATGTCTGGTAAACTTCAAATTACTGTTATTTTATTTTAAATTACATATAATTTAAGCCTCAAGGTTATTCATTCATATGTTCTAATTGTTCATTTTATTTTTTGTTTTAATAGAATGCTGATACTAATTAAGAAGAGACATTAAGAAGAAGAGAGGGGTAGGGGCTGTAGCTCAGTGGTGGAGTGCAAGCCTCACATGTGTTAGGCACTGGGTTCGATTCTCAGCACCACATAAAAATAAATAAATAAATAAAGATATTTTTAAAAAAAGAAAGAAAACTAAATCGAGCTTAAAGAGAAAAAGAAAAAGAGAATTGGAGTAAAGTACACTGAGATGGATTGTACTATAGATGTAAATGGCAAGTAACTGCTATGCCATTCTGATGTGCATGCACCAGGCACAGCTGAGTACACCTGTAATACCTGGAACCTAGGAGGCTGAGGCAGGTTGATCACAAGTTCAAGGTCAGCCTCAGCAACTTAGCAAGGCCCTGTCTCAAACTAAAAAATAAAAAGGGTTGAGGATGGAGCTCAGTGGTAAAGCATTCCTGGGTTTGATTCCCCGTAGCAATCCCCAAATACAACCTTGTATACTAGAAAGTTTCAACTATGGAATAATTTACCTGTATTGATGTTACACAGTGTAAAATCTATGACATTCTTAAGCTAATAAAAATAGCAACCAACTTACATAATACAGGAAGGCAGGCAGTCCAAAGGGTACTAAAATAATCTGGGAGAGCTCTTTATTATCCATGAATTGGTTTTAGAAACATGCTCTTTTAGATTGGTATGGGGGATTATGATATCCAAAGCAATAAAGAATTTCTGCTCAAATATCAGATGTACAGCTAATAATTTGGGATGTTTTGGGTTCTCATTAAAAAACTTAGTTTTAAGGCTGGGGATGCAGCTCAGTGACATCAGTGCTTGCCTAGCATTACAGGCTCTTGATTCCATCCCCAGCATCACATAATAAATTTTAGTTTTATCAGGGTTAAATACAATCATACAGAATGTCTATTTGATTTCTTGCCCAGAGAGCAAAGCAAGAAAGGGTAAGTCTGGTGCCAACAAAGAAATTATAATTTAAGTACAAAGCAAGAGTCTTTATAAAGATAATATGATAGAAGAATCTCTGTTGATAATACAGTGAAAGATCCACAATTGGTATAATTTGGATAGTTCAATGAGATACAAGATTTTAAAAAATCATATTTTAAAAATCCAACTAAAAATGTCATAACAACAATGCTCTTTTGCTTCTCCAAGTTTTAAATGTCTTACCTTGACTAATAAACCAAACTTGTCAAACATCCAGATTTTCTTTTGTGCCTCTTCTTCTGAAAGGCCATTTTCTACCATAGACATAACTATAAGATTTGCAATTCCAAGAGCAGCCTATTAACAAAACACAGATGTTAAAAATGAAAACTAGAGAATGAGAATTGGAAAGTTGCTTTATAATGGTCAAGTTGCTTTATAAATGAAGGTTATTTGTTATGAGAAATATTTAATTTGTTCTTCCCTTCAAATCACACAAAAATCAATTCTTTGTGATAATTTCTACAAACACACTTTAAGTTAACTATTTTATAACAGGAGTCGTGAATTTAAACCCTGTATATTTCGACAAAATTACAAGCTCATTATGCTCATTTATGAACACTATCATTGTGTCCTACTTTCCAATTCTAAAGGATTGTTGGTTTTTAAATTCTAAAAAGCTTAACAAAAACTTACCTCTCCTGCTCCAAGAAATAGAATCTTGTGGTCTGAGATGGGTTTATTAATAACTTTTTGGGCTGCGAGAAGACCTGATAGAGCTACTGAAGCTGTCCCTATTAAAAAAACAAAGATTTTTAAAATTAAAAAAGGTCACATCATAGATGATTAAAAAATAGATATCAAGAACCTAAAGTTCCCTTTTTGCTTTACCTTGAATATCATCATTGAAGGTACAATATTTTTCTCGATATTTTCTCAAGAACCTAAATGCATTATGATTTCCAAAGTCTTCAAATTGAATAAGGGTGTTCCGGCCATATCTAAAACCAGCAAAAACCATAACGGTTGTATTAAAAATACCACTATTTAACAGTTTTCCTACTTAACATTCCTTATGACAGCTTTAAAAACAATGTATTATATTAGTTCAGGGCCATCTAAAAATCTTCAGAGTCTGTGAAAGATTAGACCCAAAATGTAGAAATCCGTATCTTAAAAATAAAAATGTGCTGGATGCAGTGATGCATACCTGTAATCCTAGCAAACAGAGAGGCTGAGGCAGGCAGGGGATCCTTAAGTTCAAGGCCAGCCACAGCAACTTAGTGAGACCCTATCTCAAAAATAAAAATAATAACAAAATGTACGAGAGTTTAAAAAGAATGGGGAAGCATAATAGGCCCATGAATAACAATCTGTGAAAACTATTTCTAAGAGTTTAGGGGAGTGCCCAGCACATAAGCAACTAAGTAATTTCCTAAAAAGGAAGAGGCTAAGTCTCAAAAAGTATGTATTTGATATACATTCTCATTACTTTAACAATTAAATGGTAAAATAAGAAAGTATATTAAACAAGTAGTTAAAAGTAATTGGCATCCCAGCAAATGGGGAGGCTAAGGCAAAAGGATTTCAAGTTCAAGGCCAGTCTCAGCAACACAGCAAAACTCTGTTTCAAAATATAAAGGGCTGGGAATGTGGCTCAGTATTAAGTGTCCCTGGGTTTAATTTCTGGTACCAAAAAAAATAAATAAATAAAAATAAAAATTGCTTTGTGAGTTTACCAACATTTGGAGAGAGATGTTAGTCATCTAGGTAAGTAGTAGTAAGGAGGAAGGCTTTTGAAAAGGAGGTAGGACTTAATCTGGGAAAGAAGAACAAAAAGCAAAAAGGTAGGCAAAACAAAGACAGGTTTTGGCGACCCTGAATTTTCAGCAATCTGGGTATACATGTCAGGAGTTAAGCTGGGTATGGGGTCCCACACCTGTAATCCCAGCCACTCAAAAGACTGAGGCAGAAGGATCACAAGTTCAAGCTCAGTCTTGGCAACTCAATGAGGCCCTCAGCAACTTAGCAAGACACTATTTCAAAATAAAAACCAAAAGGGATAGGGATGTGGCTCAGTGATTTAGTGTCCCTGGGTTCAATCCCCAGTACCAAATAAATAAATAAATTAGGGTTTACATTAAAGAATAGGGAGAAGCTGGTAAAGGTAAGCTGGGGGGCAAAGGTGGGAGGCTTTTTTTTTTTTTTTTAAGTACCAGGGATTGAATTTGGGGACACTGAGGGCTAAGTTGCTAAGGCTGGCTTTGAACTTTGCTGCTATTCTCTTGCCTCAGCCTCCAAGCAGCTGGGATTACAGGTGTGTGCCACCACACCCACCTGGTGGGAGACTCTTAAGTGATGAATTAGTGAAAAAGGACTTGCAGCTGGGCATGGTAGTGCACTCCTGTAACCACAGAGGCGCCAATAACCCCAGAGACTCGGTGACCCCAGAGGCTCAGAGGCTGAGGCAGGAGGATTTCAATTCAAAGCCAGCCTCAGCAACAGTGAGGTGCTAAACAACTCAGTGAGACCCTGTCTCTAAATAAAAATACAAAATAGGTCTGGGATGTAGTTGAGTGCCCTTGAGTTCAATCCCTGGTACCCCCCCCCCCCCCCCCCCCCCGCATACCAAAAAAAAAAAAAAAAAAAAGAGACTTGCTTCTATGTCCCATTGGGAATCACTGAGGCTGCAGACAAAGGAAGAATTCACATAAGTCTCCTGTCCACAGAGATAGATAAACCTGCCACTGATGTGTAACACATACTGGTGTCTGGAGAGATGAAAACTACAAGAGAAGCAGCTAGGAGGCTGCTATGAGATTTTGATGCAGAAGGCAAAGACACAGAAGGGACAATTATACAATGCAAAGACATTTAGAGCAAACATATTGGTGATGAGGACCAGGTGGAAAGTGAGGAAGAAATTGTTACAATGCCAAGACAACACTGATGACTAAGAAGATACTGTGTGGTGGCCCAAGGCAGGGAAGTGAGAGGAATAATTGGGGAAGACAGTATCTGGGAAGATTTAAAAGTTCAGCTTTGGATTTGTCAACTTTGTCTCTGAAAAGGAAGTAATTTTTGAGTTCTTCCAGGTGTCAGTAATTTAAAAGGTACAGCTAGATTCTAAGGGTAAAGAGTTTGGGTTTTATCTTGTGGCAATAAAAAATTATTCAGATTAAGTAAAAGAATGAAGTACATGTTTACACAGATTAATTTGGTCTTAACGTGAAGATGAACCAGAAAGAAATTACAGGAAAGTTTAGAAGAATTCAGAAGAGATGTGGTAATGGAAGGTTGTGATAATGGAAGAGATGTATTTATGAGGGATGTAAGTGAGAGTGCCAACTGGATGTTGAGGAATATCTGAATGTATGCATGGGTGGTTGATGGAGAGGAGAATTATTAAAGACGATACTAAGAATGAAGGTTTGTCAATAGGGTGAACAATATTGCCATTGACAGTGGGTGGGAAGATAAAAAGCTGTTTAGAAAAAGAGAGTTCAGTTAGACATGAATTTGAAGCAGCAATAGAATATCGTAATGGGGGATTCTAACTATTAGACACAAGACTACTAGGATGGGTTTCCATGGGTCACAGTGTACAAGGCACAAAGAAGAATACTAGTCAATCATATTTAAAATACACAGAGAGCAAGAAGAACTAGTGAAAATGACAGAAAAGAAAGGCAGAAGACAGACTAAGTTAGGAGTATTTTAGTAGCAAAGAGAAAGTCTCAAGACTACAGAAGTGGGAAAACCAGGTCACAAAGTACAAGACAGAAAGGGAAGAAGACCAAATGGTCTGAGAAATTTAAAACATGAAAGCTGTAGGAGAGCTTCARTGGAGGACTGTCAAAGGCTGAAAGGAGGACTGAGCAGTGAGGGTTTGATAAAACAGAAAGTATAGACTTCCTCCCAGATATCAGGTAGGGCAGGGGTGCCATCTTGCATTAGCCCATCTTATCAAATAGGAAAGAACAAAATTTCCCCAAATTTAATTTCTTCCTGCTTATCTTCATCAGAGATAAAGAAAAATAAAACAGAACTGCAGCATCCCAGACCCCAAATTAAAGGTGCTTTTATCTTTCACATACTTAAACTTTTTAAAAATTACCTGTCAGTAATTGCTTTCATAAACTCATCAATCAGATCATCATAAAGCTGTGAACGATCTCTTTTTTGATACAAGCCCATGTAAAATGGATCCTTTAAGAGTGCCTATAAAAGAAACCAAATGTAAGAATAAGATCTTTTATTGCATTACTGGTCTAAAGCTATAAAACAAAACTGTAATCTTTCAAGAAACTTTTAGTAGACTTAATTTACTATTGTTTGTACACATATTAAAAGTGGGCCTAAGAAAAAGACTAACATCTAAGCATAAGATTTTCCTTTCTTAAATCATCTTCAAAAGATGAACAATTAAAAAACAAACATAGGAGAAACAGCAAAGGAAGAAAACAATATTACTCACTTGATTATCAGTTCCCACATCAATACACACAGGCAGACATCGATCAGGCCGTATTCCTGCACAAGCTGTGTACAAGCAAAGTTTTCCTACTGGAATTCCCATTCCATAGACGCCCAAATCTCCAAGACCAAGAATTCTCTCTCCATCAGTCACTACAACAGCCTTGATTATAAAACAAAGGGGGAAAAAAGCAAATTAAAAGTTGCCCCAAAAATAGGGTACTAAAGAAACACATTTAAAACAAGATTCTCCTCAGATATTTTCACTTTCAAAAATAAAATTGCTTTTTGACTAACTTCCAATGTACTCCAATGAAGCATATTTAATATAAGATTTCTACTGAATGCTTCCATTTGAAGAACCAATTCAAACATTTTCAGAAAGATTAAATGTGGGAGAAGTGAAAAAAATTCTGATGAAGATATTACCATTAAGAAAAAACAAGAGTTTAGAAAGAAGCAGCATGCTACTCCAATACAATAACCTTGGTTCAATAAGAAAAACCTTAGCAATAGTAAAGGAGGAAAAGATCTAGAATAAAAAAAAATACATACCCACAATAAGTTTTTAAGACAATACCGTGAGTTTAATTACCACATCAAATTTATTCTATATTACCTGAACTAATATGATCAATCATCAATGCTTATTTTGGTAGGGAAGATATATGCAATAAAGGTAAGATTACTGCTTGTAACAAACAAAAGTGTACCAAAAGATCTTGATGTTATTGCATTTCATTTCATCAAAGATAGCCACATTGATAAAGATTTTTTTTTTAAGAGAGAGAATTAAAATACTTATTTTTTTTTAGTCATCGGCAGACACAGCATCTTTGTTTGTATGTGGTGCTGAGGATTGAACCTGGGCTGCACACATGCCAGGCGAGTGCGCTACCACTTGAGCCACATCCCCAGCCCTTGATAAAGATTTATATTTGCTGAATTTAAAACTTTTAGGAGCTTTCTATTTTCTAAGATCTAAAGCTCAGATTAAAAATTTTTAAAAAGATAGGCATAACAAATCTTCTCCAACACTCTCCAGAGTAAGTTTTTATGGTATTTGAATGATTTTTTCAACCTAGAATAACATTAGTAACAGGAGAGGGCTCACCTTGCATTAGYTCCAATTTTTTTTTCAAGCTCTTTACCAGTAACCCATTTTAGAACTATTATTATTATTATCATTTCCTCAGATGCAAAGCACTAAAATCTGTATGTATACAAATGCAAAATAATCAGAGCAACAATGAAAAACCATTCATGGCAATTTAGAGACAAGGGAGAAAAAAAAAACATCGTGAAAAGGAGGGTTGTGCTATTAGTACCTTAACATGATTTTCTGGCCAGTTATCCACAATTGATCTAACATGACCTCTGTCTGAGATTGAAATAAATAATCCCCTGCAATAGAACAAAAACACCTTTGCATTTCATGACATTTTTTAGTTTCTAAGTTTTGTCCATAAGTCGAATACTTAGATATTTTAATAAAACACCAAGACATAGTATAATTTCCAATCAGATTTAGCTTAGTCATGTAGGTTTATTTTTGATTATTTCAAATTGTAATTACACTGTTCACATAACTGCAACAAAGATTACTGTTAAATGATATGATCATTTTACTCAAGAAAAAATGTATCCACATGGCATGTTCAAATATACTCAATACTTCTCCAGTAAAAAACATAACAAGTCACCAATACAAAGAAGCTTATTAATAAGTTCAAGTGAACAGTTAAAACTCAGTGCAATTGAAAATTTGAAAGAGCAGGAAGGAATAAAATTATAGTAAATTCACATAAAAAATGACATACTTGAAGCACTGGGAAAAAGTGAGGTTATTTTCATTTAAATTTTTATTTAAATGTATAATTTTTGAAATTAACAAAAACTATCATATACAACATGGATTTCTAAAATATGTATAAACAATGCGGGGACTAATGAAAAGTTAAACACAGTATGCTGTTATCTAATTGAGATAAAGTTTTCAAAAAAGAAAGATAGAAAAAAAATACATGTTTCAGAAAAAAGGCTGAGGCATAGATTGTCCCCAGTGCTTCTGAACTTTTTCTTAACCTTCAACTTTTTCACGGTATTTGAACTTGGGCATTACTATTGTATATCAAATCAATGTAGTTCAGCAGTTTCTTAATCATGGCTATGTAATCACCTGATGAGCTTTTAAAAAGGCCAAGTCCCATCTCCAGAGATTCTCATTTGATGCTTAGAGTTTAGATTAATCAACCAATCAAGATTAACTGATCTCTTTTTAAGTATCAAACAAAACAAACCTTTGCGGATGTAGTATATTATACAGTAATGATATACAGTATCGACTCTCACCCCAAACCATGCTCTTATGTCTCATGTCAGTTCTCATCTCCGTGTGCACATGAGAATGAAAATTGGGGCTTTTATGAGACACCCATACTTGGGTCCAAGCCTAGACTAAATGAATCAGAATCTCTGGCAGTGGGGCCCAGGCAGCCTTGTTTTTAAGTTTTCTTCTATTTTTTCAGTCTGGCTTGAGAACCACAAATCTTATAAGAAACCATAAATATGATGCTTAGCTGGGTTATGTCATAGAATGTTTTAGATACATTAATCAATGGTAGTGTTGTTCCTCAGTATCCTACAGGAAATACCTGCAACACAATCACAGAGGGCGTTCACTAAACTATAGACTGCCATAGCATTTTTTTTCTATCAGAATCTTGGGGATGGGAAGGAACGAGGTAAGTTGGCAGGATTCAATTATTTTTAGTAAGTCCAACAGGTGCTTCTTATGCAAATTAAAATTTGAGAGCCATCAGATCAGATGAAGGGAGATTGAAGATAAATGCTATTCTATCTTTTCTCAATTTCAACATTTATACCAATATGTTAGATGGACATGGGAAAAAATACAAGGATTGAGGAAAATAACAGGTAGAGGAGGAACAAGACAAATATAAATTAATTAAAAATAGCATATGTGTAATGCTTGTAAGTTGATAAAGAACAATCATATCAGTTTCTTCAACAGCTTCTTAACAGGTATTTTTACCCCTATGTAACATACGAGAAAACACATCCAAAAAGATTGCTTGGTTCATTCAAGGATTTGAGTCAAGGGCCCAATCCAGTACTCCTTCCACTTAAAATGTCTGGAAGTATAAGAACAATTTGAAATAAAAGTTCACTAAAAACAAAAAAAGAGAGAACAAACAATAAAAACTAAAAATGAGATAGAATCAATCCCTTAACTTGGGAAGATTGGTAAAAGCTACTTATAATTATGGAGAATCTACCACTAGGATTAATTCCATTTTTGCAGGAAGGATAAAGGTTTAAAAAGCACAGTTGCTCCAACAATTACATTTGAAGGTTAAAAATGAATTACACTATTTTTAAAGAAATAAAAGACAGAGCATGTTGATTTTTTTAACTGACATCTTTTAATCCAAATCGAGCTTTTCTGGGGTGGGAAACATGGTGGGGATAAAACTAACAAATCTAATAGGTGTTATGGAATGATTTTTTCCCCCTTATACAACAATCATCTACATATATTTTTAAAAATAAGCCTTACTTGGGTCTTCTAAAGATGTGTCCATACTGGGAACAGGCAAGACCAACTGTTGGTGTATATACAATTGGCATTAGACTTTCAATATCATCTTGTAGTATTCTATAAAACAGTTTCTCATTTCTTTCTTGTATTCCCATTATATAGATGTACCTGAAATTAAGCATAGTTAAGCAATGTCTGACTCATAGTATGTTACAGTTGAGTTTTAGCTTTTGAAATCAAACCTAAATGTCTAAAATTGGGCCCTCCCCACTTCTATACCCTCTTAAAATACAACACACACACACACACACACACCAAAATCTTAAATTATTACTATTCAACACCTAAGACAAAAAACTAGCAAAAACAAATGTACTTAAGTGGTAGATGACAATGAAGAAAATAACAACCACCACCCAAATTTACCAAGTCCTTAGTATGTCAGGCTCTGTACAGAACACTGAAAAATGCAAAGATCACTAGAAGCCTCTACCTTTAAGGAGCTAATCTTTAGGAGATTGACATGTAAATAAGGAAGCAAAATGAAGTGACATTCATTCAAATGTTTACTAAACACTAACTGTACCAGGCACTATTCTGAATTCCAGGGACATATGTTGTAACTCCTGCCAAGGACTTTATAATCCAGTAGGGTTTAAGCATTAATTCAAAGAGAAGCACAAATAAGGCAATGGTCTACTCATGGGACTAAATACATAAATAACTTCCAACAAAGAATTAAGTTTAAAGAATAGGGAAATACTGAAATCAGAAATCATCTGGTCTAACAGACTCACATCTTCCTCCAAACTTGTTTCTCCTCTGCTATCACCTAATGGGAAACCCATTTAGTTCTTGATTTTTTTCCCCCTCTCCTCTCCTGTCCTCCCTTAACCCAAATGAGTAAATCATCAAGTCCTACAGAGTCTACCGGTAAAACATTTCAATATATCCATTTGCTCCTTCCACCTGCAGCTGGTCCAAACCACCACCATTTCTCACTTGGCCTTCCGACTCAACTTTATACATATAATTTTCCTTCCCTGTTCCAATTCATTCTTATCTTAAAAATATTAAGTATGGTCATTTTATTCTCCTTAAGTGGCTTTCAGATGCCAGGAAAATAAGGCTCAAGCTCCTTAAACAGTTAATAAGACCTCTGCCTACTTTCCAACCTCATTTCCATACTTATCTACTTCATTTCCTCAAGTGCACAGCTCTTACCTTGGAGGTGTTGAACCTAAGGACTCTCTGCCTGATTACCCATACCTGACATCGTCTCCTATACTCATGTCTCTTAATGTAGCTCAGAGGCTCAATCTTGGGGGCCCTTTTCAGTCAACTCCCCTTTCCTACCACAAATAGATATATGTTAGAGTTCCTTGTTTTCAAGTCCCACCATACCCTACTACCTCTTCTGCATTCAACTTTCCATCACTTTTGTACCATTTTAAAGTAAAAAAAAAAATCCTACACTGAACCATCAAAAGTGAGGACTATCTGTAAATAGGATAATGTACACAGGTTATATGCAAATTAAGAGGCTCGACCACACTGATTTGTGTCCATAGGAGGGGACAGGTGTTCTAGAACCAAACCCCTACAGATACTGAGATATAACTGTACTTCAAACTTTAAATTTCAATATATTCCTGTGACAATGTAGTAAAATATTCTCATGATCCTGGTCAGATGAGCCAGTCATAGCTCCCAACCACCCATGTAATCAAGAAGGTCAATGAGTGATGCTGTATAAGCATACTGTGTTGTTAAGCTATGATGGTAGTAGGTGGGTTATTAAATGCATTTTCACCTTTTTTTTTGCAATTTATGATGGGTTTATTGGGATGTAACTGCATTATAAGCTGAAGGTTATCTGTATTTGCCTATTTCCAGGAGCTAGCAAAGTATATGGCATCCAACTGGTATACAAATACTTGGTGAAAACGTAAGAGAAAAGAAACATTTAAATAATGAATTATATTTTCTGAACAGCTATGGGAAAGAAATGACATCAAAAGGTAGAAATTTGGGGCTGGGGATGTGGCTCAAGCGGTAGCGCGCTCGCCTGGCATGCGTGCGGCCTGGGTTCGATCCTCGGCACCACATACAAACAAAGATGTTGTGTCCGCCGAAAACTAAAAAATAAATATTAAAAAAAAAGGTAGAAATTACAGGGATGCAGATTTCTCCTCACTATAGGGAAATAACTGAACAATTGGGCTGTGAAGATGGAAAAAACAAGGGCTGGGGCTGTAACTCAGCTTGTAGAGCACTTGCCTAGACATGTGAGACAGTGGGTTCAATCCTCAACACTACATAAAAATAAATAAAATAAAGGTAAAAAATAAAAAAGATGGAAAAAACAATTTTGTGAAGAGACAGCAGGAATGTTAAGGAAAGAAAAGCTGACATATGACCTATCAGGCATGTGACAGAGAGAGGCTGTGCATTTCCTGAAGCTCCCTACATTGCTGTTACTTTTGCCTTCACTTCACTTCAGCCATTCTGTATACCTCACAGTGATCCTGGTGACTTCACCTAAACTGTCAAAGCTCAGAACTGGCAAATGCCCTTATTCCACTCTTAGATCACATTTTACACACCATCTGATCATACATTATTCTTTGAGGGATCTCAAGCTTCTTAATTGCTCCATTCTCTCCCCTTCTATCGCTCCCTTCGGGTTCCTCTTCATTCCCTATTCTAGATCCCAGGATCAATGCTCTCATTCTGTGCAAATCTTTCACCAATCTTACCATTTAAAAACTTCTACATATCACTGCACCATTCTTCCATAATGTCTGCCTTTTCCACCATACAGTGAACACCCTGAAGGGTGTTTTTTTGTTTTTTTTTTTTCATTTTTTTTATAGTATAGGAGCTTAGAACAATGCCTGGCACTGAACAGCCTAGAAAAAACAGCAAATGAATGTTTCTTCTTTCTTTCTTTTCTCTTATGAATGTCTGTCTGTCTGTCTGTCTGTCTGTCTCTCTCTCTCTTTCCAGGGACTGAACCCAGGGCAGCTCAACCACTAAGCCACATCCCAAGCCCTTTTTATTTTATATTTTGAGACTGGGTCTCATCTGGGCCTCACTAAGTTGCTGAGGCTGGCTCTGAACTTGTGATCCTCCTGTCCCAGCCTTGTGAGCAGCTGGGATTCAGGTATCCTCCATCTCCCAGACTAGATGAATGTTTCATTGCCTTCCCAGCAAACTCCAAACCCAAATTAATGTTACATTTCTCCCTTTCTGTGGAAAAATAATATTGACTATGCAGAATGGCACCTGGACAAGCAAGATTAAGACTATGAGGGTCTACTTTCCTCCTTTTAACCTATCCAACCATGTTTGGTCTTACCTCACAATCAAATCACTCTTCCTAGTATTTATCACTCCCCTCGACAACTCTATTCAACATTGGCCCTTTTAATCATAGCTGTGATTCCACATTCTGTTATAAAGAAATCAAAGACGTTAGGCATGATGAGATCTCATGACCTCTGCTCCACTGCCTGCATATTGAACCTTACATACCTACCTCTCCAGTTGCCCCTGCACCTTTTCCCTTTCACTAGGACCTTGCTTTACTTGCTCTAGCAATTATCCTTTCTCCTGAACTCTTTCCTCACAACTATAAACACGTTCAACTTTCTTGCTGTCCAGAATACTTAAACCAAAGTACCACTTTACTTATGGTTCAATGTCTTTCTTCCTCTCTTATTTGGACTTCTTGACAAAGGAGTTTACATTTTCTCCCCTCCCATTCATTCTTCAGTCTATTCCATTCTTCCTCTGGACCCATCACATCAAGGAAACAACTCTCATCAGAATGGCACCTGGTCAAGCAAGATTAAGACTATAATATCCTATACTTAAAAACTCCAACAGATATAGTTAGCTCTGCATTCAGACTGATTCCTCTCCCCAGAATGCCTTGTTCTTCTTTCTCATTTTGACAGCTACCATCAATATACTACTTAAACTTGAACTCAAGCACCACTTCCTTCAAACTGGAAGAGGTGCCATCTTCATGCTTCCAGAATACATACTGCATGCAGCTTTTTCTCACTGTACTTCACACTGCAATATAGAGTACAGTGATAGTCATACTATATCTGTTGAGAAGCTCCTAGAAAGAAGGCAGGGCTATGTGTTACTGGATTGGTCACTGTGTGCTTTGAGTATGTCTCCCAGATTTTATGTTAGAAACACAATCCACAAAGTCATATGTTAATAGTATTTGGAAATGGGGTTCTCTGGAAAGAAACTGGGCATGATGACTATTAAGATAGAACTCTAGGGGCTGGGGATGTGGCTCAAGCGGTAGCGCGCTCGCCTGGCATGCGTGCGGCCCGGGTTCAATCCTCAGCACCACATACCAACAAAGATGTTGTGTCCGCCGAGAACTAGAAAATAAATATTAAAAAATCTCCCCTCTCTCTCTCTCTCTCTCTCTCCTCTCTCACTCTCTCTTAAAAAAAAAAAAAAAAAGATAGAACTCTATGAAAGAATCAGCAGGAACGTTAAAGAGCAGATGACCTATCGGGCAAGTGACAAAGAGACTCTATGATTAATCCTTCACAGACTAATGGGTCATTGAAGGAATTATCAGGAGAGTGGGTGTTTGGCCATCTCGTGAGCTCCCTTCACTACATGATGCCCTGCACAGCCTCAAGACTGCAGAATCCCCATTAGCAAGAAGGCCCTTGCCAGATGCAGCCCCTCATCCTTGGATTTAGCCTCCAGAACTATCATCCACTTTATATCCCCAGAGGTTAGTAGAGTGTCACACCACAAGGGTGATGAACTAAATTTGTTAAGTTAAAAGGGTAAGTATCAAATGGTATCTTTTGCTTCTAAAGCTGTATTTACAAGTAAAATGCACTGATCTTCAGCATAAAAACTGATTTTGATTTCTGTCAAGCTCACAATAGTCAACATGAGTGAAGTACTCACTAAAGAAAACAATCACTATAAAAGTAATAGTTAACAAAAAAGCCCTCACAAACTTCACCATGAAACTATGTATTTCTCAGGCCATAATTTATCTTATCAGGATATCAATAAAAAATTAGATATATAATCAATGCTTACTTTTCCAAAGGGCTATTCATTTTTTTCAAGTTTTTATGGAATCGTAAGGCTTGAATATCTTGTGTCTCTATTTTAGGAGGTAAAAGTCCTTGAAGACCAAGCATTTGTCGTTCCTGTAATGTAAATGCCATTCCCTAAAGAAAAGAAATAAAATGATTAAAATTTACTTACAGGGGTAGCAATGTCATTGTCCTTTAATACAAATTTTAAAAATCAACAAAATATATTTGCCCAGACTTTCAAAATTTTATTAGATTGGCAACATCCAGTATTGGTGAGAATGTGGGAGGAGTTATTCCCACAAAACTTCCACTGGAAATGTAAACTAGTTTAGGCTTTCAGAATGCAATTTTAAAGTACTAAAAAAATTTTTTTTCTTCATTGTATAGGTCTCAGCCACGCTAAGCAAGAACTCTACCACTGATCTTAATCCCTGATCCTTTTTTATTTTCTGACAGGGTCTCACTAAATTGTCCAGACTGGCCTGGAACTTGATTCTCTAAGTTTTTTTTAATGCTCATATTCTTCAATCAAGCAACATAACTTCCAAATAGTCATCCCAGAGAAATATTCATCAATTATGCAATAAGAGCCTATGGTACAGGCATACCATAAAATACCACAGAAATAGTTAAATATTTAAGTCTCTAAGTATGTACAATAGTAGAAAGATCTAAAAGACACAGTTAAAAATAAAAGCAAATTGCCAATCAAAAGCACACTGTTAATTTACTTATGTTTAGAAAACTACCTAAAACTACGTATTATATATAAGATGGCATGTAACACATTAAAAGTGAGATTAACAAAATAGAGTTAAAAACAATCTAAGTCAGAAGAAAATATTAAATTTGTTTTTCAGTTGTGGGATGTATCAAAATGATAATCAACAAAAATGCTGGAGTACAGACTTCTGAAAATTTTTTCTTCCATAAAAGCACAAGTTTTATATATAGCCATAAAACTCTAATAAAAAATAGAATTAAAGTCAGCCTACTGTATCAATACATGTGTACCCATATTCATAGCAGAACAATTCACAACAGTTAAACCATGAAAGTAAACTAGGTGTCCATTAATGGATTAATGGCTAAAGAAAATGTGGCATGTGGCATATAGCATATAGCCATAAAGCAGAATGAAATTAGTTAATCTGAAGAAAAATGGATGGAACTTGGGAACATTATGGTAAGCAAAATAAACCAAACTCAGAAAGTCAAGGGTCATATGTTTTCTCTCATATGCGAAAGTTAGCAAGGAAAAATGAAAATAAAAATGGGGGAGGGGAAATTTCAAGTTCAAAGGGAGATCAGTAGAGGAATGGGACCAGAGGGAGGGAAGAAAGGAAGAGAAATACTGGGGAATGATATTGACTAAATTATATTATCATGTGCATGTAAAAGTATGTAACAATGAATCCCACAATTATAATGCACTAATAAAAAATATGGGAGGAGAAGCAGCAACAAGAATACTGGCCAAATGATCAGAATCAACTTTTTCGGGCTTCCAGAAATAAATCAGATTTGCAACTATCAGGAAGCACTAATTCAAGAAAAAATAGATGGATGCCAGTAAGCAGCAAGCTTACTAGCCCTATTCTCATCTCCTCTCTCTACCTATAGTGGCCTTGAAAACCAAAAGCTAGAATCACTGTGCAACTTGAAGCCAGGAAGCTACTAGAGGGGGAAGAAGAGGCTAGAGATTGTTCTAAAGCCCTAATCTCAGGGAAAATATCATTATATGATCTGTTCCCTCCATGAACCCACCTACAAGGCTGTCATTATTTTCAGAGCCTATCCAGTACTAACAGTCTTCCCTCCAGAGGTTTGTTGAAAACACTCAGAGGCAATTATTTAGCTGGGCAACTGTCTGAAATACTGGATAACCACTGGTTATAAACCACAGACTAACCAAAAGGCGGAACAAGAAAAGATGAAGATCTGGGTGTGGTAGCACATGCCTATAACCTCAGCTACTTGGGAGGCTAAGGCAGGAGGATCCTTAAGTTTGAGACCAGCCTTGGCAATTTAGTGAGACCCTCTCTCAAAAAATAAAAAAGGACTGAGGATGTGGTTCAGTGATAGGGTACATCTAGGTTCAATCCCCAGTACCAGGGAGCAGGGGGTATTGGGGTTGGGGAGAAAAAGAAAAGGATAAGGAATGAGATGGTTATGTATTTGGGGGAAATCTAGAAGGCTATGTGTATGAGCTGTGAATATGTCCAGGAATGACCTGAGATGGCCCTAAGCTCTTAGCTATGACTAACCTTCAGGCACTGTGCAAGCAGGAAGTGAGGGTAGGCAGATGCTTAGTTGTAAACTGCCTGCCTCAGTGTTAGTCATGCCCCAACATGCACACAGACCCCTTGGCAAAGAGTAGAAGACTTACTGGTTCTGGCTCCAGGCCTTTAAGTCTCTGGTTAATCATTAGTTGACAAAAAGAACCAGAGAATTCAGTAGGCATACACAACAAGAACATAAAATAATTAGTTCAGAACTGCCACCATAGTGCATGGGAATGTAGCTCAGCAGTAGAGCAGGTACTTAGCATATCCAAAACCTTGATGCTGATTTTGTAGGCATTAAAAATGCAAAAATTATGGGGTCATGGAGAGTTCTACTGAGATTTCAGAGGAAAGGTTGGGAGGCCAGGCATTGTGTGGCAAATTCCAAGTCCCCACAAGCAGGGCTATTCATGGAGCAGGGAGAGTGAAACTCCAATGGAGATTCAAGGAAAGGAATGTCAGGAACATGAAATGTCAGCTGAGGGATTCTGCAGATAGTATGCAAAGACAGCCCAAGAGTGTGGCCATGTGGGTTGCAACCATGAAAGTCATAGGGGTAAAGCTGATCAAGCACTTGGTAGCCCACATGATGCCACATGTACACTGGATGCCAGATAAGCAGATGTAGGATTTAATGTTTGCTTTCCTAAGTTTTGATCTTGCTGTGGTCCAATTCTTCCTTTCCGGAATAGGGATGTTTACTCTTTGCCATTGTATCTTAGAAGCATGTGAATTTCTTTTTTTATTTTAACAAGGGCTCACAGCTGCGTGTACCCTGAATCTCAGAGGAGACTTTGGACTTGGACTTTTGAGTAATACTAAAATAGTTAAGACTTTTGGGAGTCTTGGAGATGAACTGAACAGATCCTATACTGTGGGATGAACATGAGTCTTTGGGGTTGGAGTAGAATACTACACTTTGGATCCTAAATGTTCCCCCAAAGTTTCACATGTCCCAGAGTGGAACTATGGGAAGTAGTAGTACGTTTAAGAGGTGGGGCCTAGTGGGAGATCTCCAGGTAACTGGGAACATGCCCTCAAGAAAGATTGTGGGGCTGGTGTGTCAGTGCATGCCTGTAGTTCCAAGAACTTGGGAGGCTGAGGCAGGAGGATTACAAGTTGGAGGCCAGTCTCAGCAACTCAGCAAGGCCCTAAGCAACTTAGTGAGACCCTGTTGCAAAAATTAAGAGTGAAGGATGTAGTTCAGTGGCAAAGTGCCCCTGGGTTCAATCCCCAATACAAAAAAAAAAAAAGATTGTGGGGATAGTGGTCTCATCCTTTCCCATAGCAGATCTGCTGTGCTGTGGGTGATTATCTCAGTATTACTATAGTAATGGAAAGTTATCACATCCACATACATCATTATTGAAAAATTCCTTATCCAGATTCTTGAACATACAGGTAAACATGCTAGGAGCAAATAAGAAGCTTCTTCTTATAAGCTTCCTGTAAGAAATTCTTTCCAGAATTATATTCACTTACTATTTAATAGACATGAATTTTAAACTAGAGTTAATATTTTATTTACTTTTGCTGCTGGGTGTGCTAAGTACATGTTACTACTGAACTCCACAGCCATCCATTATTTATGCTTTTTTTKGGGGGGAGGGGTACTAGGGATTGAACCCAGGGGGTGTTTCACCACTAAGCTACACCCCTAACCCTTTTTATTTTTCCTTTGAGACAGGATCTCGCTAAGCTGCTTAGGGCCTCACTGAAACCTCAAAAACTATGAGCCAAAAGAACCTTTTTTTCTTTTATCCCAGGACCTCATTTAGTTGCTGAGGATGACCTTGAACTTGTAATTTTCCTGCCCCAGTCTTCCCAGTTGCTGGGGTTACAGTCAGGTGCCATCACACCCTGATTATTTATGTATTTCTTAACCACGTACCAAATATTGTGCTAAATATGTCAAAAATTTTACTTCATTCAATATGCAGAAAGTATCATGAAGTAGGAACTATTATTTTTGCTATTTTTCATATGACTTCAGATGAGCTTCTTAGAGCTTTTGTCAGATGCCCAGAGTGTCACAGTAAGTAAGGAGAAGTGCTAGAACTGAAGTCCAGACTGTGAAAATGCAGTCAGATCCTCTTAACTATCATGTTTACTATTTAATATTGCCACTAAAAAATAAAGGGCTTTGCCCACTAAACCCAGCTCAGCCAAAGAAAGTCATGACTGAAACTCAATACTGCCTAACACATCTGTTCTAATAACAATAATAAAAGTGTCAGGTAATGCTTTCCTTTGAAGTATTACCCCCTAACTAACTATTTGTGTGCAAAGATTTGTGTCTAAAAAGCCTTATGGAGATGGGGTGGGTTGGATTTTAAGCAAAGGTTCATTTCACAATTTTGACCTCACCCTCCAAAGGCCTAATGATTGGTCTAGCTTTGACCTGGGTCAATCGATCCCATATCTGGCTAAAAAGTCCTGATAGAGTGCTGTTCTGAGATATTTTTCCATCTTTTCTTTTTAGCTAGGAAGTGAAAAATCAAGTCTTCTCTGGTGGTAAAAGTTGTGAAGAAAAAACTCTGGCAGTAAAGAATGAAAGTTCTTATAGAATGAATGAAAAGTTCATACAGAGAAAGCAAATGCCTCTGAAAAGTCTTAGTATAATGCTAATGAATACAAAATTTTCTTAACATCATTCTAAAATATCAAACCTTTATCAGGAAGAGAGAAAATTTACATTGGCATGAATGTTACTAACCTTGTTTGTTCTTGGGTTCAACATGAGTGGCTTGCCTTTCTCTTTCCTGTGCAAATGACGACATGCCACCGAACAAGGAGTGGCAACTGCTCTTAACCGGGAAAACATCTTTTTCTTTCACCTGTCAAAAATGAAGCAAATAAACTGATGAGAAAAATACTGTAGAATTCCATGTACATAACATATCAGCTCTCAAAAGTAGATTTAGAATCTTTCCACATGTGAAAATACTCTTTCAAAATGCATCTACTTTTCCTCAAGTTCTATCAGTTGGAAAAGGGCAGCCATATGCTGAAGGTGAAGACTTAACTTTCCCGATAGCACTCTTAATTCTTGGATAATAATCAATGTTACATTTTATATACAACCTTCTATATGCCAGACCCCATACTGAACATTTAACTTCTTTCTAATCCACACAAATGTGACAAGGTATGTGTCTCCTATTCTGAGAAACAAATTGAGAGGTTAATAAACAAGGATACATCTAAATAAACAGTAAAGTGGGTTCCATTTAATGAGCCTGTAAGTCAATTTGAAGGTGGAAAGATAAGTCTAGGAAAGCGGAACATTTACATTGATGGATGAGAAGCTACACAAATTCTTTACCTAGAGCTAGAATTCTAATGTTCTCCATTCAATGCTTAAATTTAATGTACTAGTTTGCCTTAAAAAAAACCTGTTGTTTAATATAAAAACCATGTAAATTGGCTAGAAAACATATTAAGCAACGGTTGTCCTTTTAGACCTATCATAAACATATGGAAATATCAAACCATATGTGGAGATAATAGATTCTTCTGCTTAATCAATTCTCCTACTAAGAACTAGAATTTACAATATCCATTTATTTTTTTAAACTTTACAATCATTGCAATTATCACAAAGTGATTTTTTTATTTTTAATTTTTGGCAGCAAATTTTTTAATGGAATTTCTAGTTGATGAGAAATCCATATATGGCGGCAGTAAAATCATTTACAAAAGGACTTAAAAAATTAATTTCTGAGAGGAAACTCACATAAAAGTAACAATTTCATTTTATTTATTTATTTTTGTTTGCTTTTTTTGGTATTGGAAACTGAACCAAGAGGTACCTAACCACTGAGCCACATCCTCAGTCCTTTTTATTTTTTATTTTGAGACTGGGTTTCCATAAGTTCCTTAGGGCCTCGCTAAACTGCCCAGGCTGGTCTGAAACTTGCAATCCTCCTGTTTCAGCCTCCCAAGTTGCTGGAACAACAGGTGTGTGTGACAGTAACTATCTTAAAGTGAACAATTCAGAGGCCTCTATTAACATTTTGCCACCTCCATCTAGTTCCAAAATATTTTCATCCCCTATAAGAAGACCCCATACCCATTACCCAGTTATTCCCTCTGCTCCTCCTCCCACCACCAATCTTCCTTCTGTCTTCCTTTTGCACTATCAAGAGACAAGCACTAGAAAATAACTGATCTGTTTTCTTAAAAAAAAGTCACTGTCATGAAAGCAAAGATCAAGAACTACTGGAACTTATAAAAAACTAAACTGATAATAACTAAATGTAAAGCCCAATTATAGACTAAAATAATATTTTAAAAATGCTTCATATAAAGACACACTGTAGATGACAAAGTATTATATAACTTTAAATTTTCTGGGTTTACAAACCATATATAAGATATTCTAGCCAAGGACTGTGGTGCACATCCGTAATCCCAATGGCTCAGGAGGCTAGGGCAAGAGGATTGTGAGTTCAAGGACAGCCTCAGCAACTTTGTGAGGCCAAAGCAACTTAGCAAGACCCTGTCTCTAAATAAAGGGCTGGGGATGTGGCTCTGTGGTTAAGCACCCTTGGGTTCAATCCCCGGACCAAAAAAAGATATTCTTACTCTGAATATACACTCTGAAGTACAAAGGGCCAAAGGAATGTGATCTTTGTATGCAATCTATTTTCTGAAATTTCTCAAAGCAAATTTTAAAAGATAGATTTACACAGTAGCTTCAAGTATACTAACAAATGCTAGAGTAGTGATCTAAATGTATGATAAAACCTTAGTGAAGACTGAAATGGCATTAAATTTTAGATGTAAATTTTTAGCGACGTAACTACTGATGTTGTGAGAAAAGCCTTTTGGCTTCACTCTTCATTTCAAACTTTGTAGCAAAGAGGAACAGCCTCTGATACACAGAAATTCAAAGCCACCAAAGGACTGCTTAAAAGTCCACATTAAAGGCAAAATGTGTATACTATTAGGCTGTATTTGTTCATTAAAAAAATGTATATATATATAATCTTGCCTAAAAGAAATGCCAAAAAAAGATATCTTCTAAAATAAGCTTTTATTTTCCAATAATTTTAGATTTAAAAAACGTTACAGACAGTACAAGAGTTCCCGTGTACACTCAGTTTCTCCTGAAGCTTCGGAACAGATGTTGAAGGAATGAATTGTTTCTAGGAAAGAAAAATGCCCCACCACAGCTTAAATTTCATCATCAGCCAAGACGCTGACTTTAGTTTCAAGACTGAATGGTTTCATGGGCAAAACAAGACTGTTTTATGATGGTACTGTTTGACACTCAGAGACCAGTAAGCTTTTCTAAAATGTAACAAGCTGTGACCTGTTTTGATATGGTACTTGACTGAAGGATGTTTTTTTACGTTTTTATAAGGTTGCAAAAGGAAAAATGTATATGACAGAGATGCATATGGTTCATAAAGCCTAAATATTTACTCAGGGTCCTTTACAAAAAATTTTGCTAATCCCTACTTCAAATTCCTATGATCTGAAAGCCAAGATATAAAATCTCCTGTGTTTTACAGAAAGATGGACAGAGAGAGAGACACACACACACACACGCAAGGTTCCAGTGGTGGCAGCATTTTTTCTTCTTTATTCATGTCCAGAAGTCAGCATGGACTTCAAATAGGGTTGTTTTGAAAGTGTTACTGATTATTTATTCCTGGGTACCTGAATATTCCAGTTTGCAATAACTATGTTGAAGTTGTTTTCTGCCATCCATGAACCTCAGAAATAAGGTATAATGTACTTGATGTTTCAAAAGCATTGCATAAGACTTAGTGTGTCACCAAAACACGCAGCTGTGGATGGTGATCTTGATATTAAGATACCAAGCTGTGTTGGAAATTCTTTAATATTGCCAAGAATGTTTCACTCATTTTAAAAAGCCATGAAGCCAATTAAGTTTTAAATAGTCAAAGCACATTGGGAAAACAATGAAAAAAAATGAATGAATAATTTGAAAGGTTTTCTGCTCTTTGAAAAATGTGGACCTGAGAGGCTGAGGAAGGAGGATCATATTCGAGGCCAGCCTTAGCAACTTAGCTAGGCCCTAAGTGAGATCTAAATTAGGAAAAAATAAAAAAGAAAAAGAGGAACTGGAAAGCACTGTACAGGTAGCTAGGTCAAAACAGGAAGGATGGTATTATTCATAACTTCAAGGAAGAAATTTAAGAATTAATTGTGGGCCTTAAAGAAAATGATAAAGAATGTGGAATATGGGAAGAACAAAAGAATAGTGACTAAAAGGAAAAGCCAGCAATGAGAAATCTTCATAATACATTGTTAAAAAATAATTCAAGAGCTGGGCATGGTGGCCCATGCCTGTAGTTCCAGCTACTTCAGAGGCTCAGGAAGGAGGATCCCTTGATTCCAGGAATCTGTGGTCAGCCTGGGCAATAGGGTAAGATTCCCAACCTTTAAGAAAGACAAACAAAAACAAAAGAAAATGGACATGAGTTTTGAGGCTAGGGATGTAGCTCAGTGGTAGACTGTGTATGCACTAGGGCCTGGGTTCAATCTCCAGCACCCAAAGTGGGGAAGCTAAAACATTTGTACAAAAAAAGACACCATAAACAAAAATAAATGACAGCACAAGAGAAAATATCACTTCATATCTAAGGATCCTATTTAGAATAAATGAAGAGTCCCTACAAATTTAAAAGACAAACTCAACAAAAAACCAGCAAAGAAATAAGAATAAATAACTCAGACAATAAGCAATTTAGATTATCCTCAGTAGTAACCAAGGAAATATAAATTAAATCTTCAACAAAATTTTAGTTTTTACCCAAACTGCCAAAGAAATTTTAAAAATTAATATGCAGTATTGGTGAAAGTACAGAAAACAAGAATCTTTAATAAGAATACAGCTGGATACAGTGGTACATACCTGTTATCCCAGCTACTCAGGAGACTGAGGCAGGAGGATCAAGTTTCAGGCCAGCCTCGGATATTAGCAAGGCTCTGTCTCAAAAAAGGGAGCTCAGTAGTAGAGAACCTTTTGTTTCAATCCACAGTATTGTAAAAGAAAAAAAATTCATAGTCTTCTAGATGGAAATTTATCCATGACTATAAATTTTGATAATAAATCCCTCATTCTAATAATTCCAATTATAGAGTATGCTAGAAAAATGCTCACAGAAGAATATAAAAAAAACTAGATGAAGATGTTCAAACTAGCATTAATATAAAAAAAATGGTATCAACAGTGCTTCATGAAAGGTTAAATAAGGTATAACATCCATATCACAGAATATCACGTAACAATTTAAAGAGGGTAAGAACCACACAGGCTTTCGTAAATATTATTTTAAATTAATTCGCTTTTTAAACCCACATAGACCCATTTATGAGTCAATCCAATCAGAAATTAAAACATTAAATGCAATTCTAATATAACTTCTTTTGAGAAAAAAATGAGAAAAGTCTCTAGATATTGACACTGTTAATATTCCCTAAAATACTGTTTAGTGCAAGGAGCAAAATCCAGAATATATATGGCATGAAAAACTTATGCTTTTTAAAAAATGTATTCATTTACAACTTATATATAAATGTATAAAGATCTGGAAAGATAGAGAAGGACAAAGAGAAAGGACAGATAATGTGAAATGTGACTTTAAACTTTGACTTGACATAATTTTTATTTCTTCCCCCCAGCTACTCACTCCCTTTCTTTGAAAGCAAATATTGTAACCAATTTCTTGTCCTAGACTTGTTTTAAAGTTTAAGGAAACAGGAAATTGGGGAGTGGGGGTTAATGGACCAGTTACTGCCTATGGATAACATTAATGAACAAAATCTTCTATTCATAAAGAAAACAAGTATTTTTTCACTC